AGGACCGCGTACCGGATGGCCTGCATCGTCCATGCGAGGCTTAGCAGCAGTAGCAGCACGTACAGTGGAGCGAGCCGCGAGTCGTCGTTGGCTGCAACGCCGCCGGCGCCCAGCGTCCAGAAGGAGAAGTAAACGAAGGCTGTGAGGAGCGCGAGCGCAACGTACTTGCCCAGCATGAGATTGGGTGGGACGGCTGCGACGGAGGCGGAAAGGATCTCGTAGGCATGGTGAAGGCGGCGAGTGATCCAACAGCCGTACAGTGACTGCACCAGAGCAATGGCCAGGGCGAGCACCCCGAATGCCAGGCTGTAACCGCCATCGTCGGTCAGGAGGAGCACGGCGACAGCACAAGCGAGGGACGGGGAGAGCCAGAGGGAGGCCTTGAGGGCTTTGGCTGGGCGATGGAGGACGAAGAGCAACCAGAGAAGGGCGACGAGGGTGGAGGCGGCGGCGGAGGTGAGGAGGGGTGTGAACCAGTGGTCCGCATGGAATGCTGGGTTCCTGGCAAGGAAGCCACGAATGCAGAGGATGATGATGAGGATGGCGGCGGCGACGAGGTGCGCAAAGAAGAGGAGCGTAGCGAGCCTGCGGGCGAAGTTGGCGCTGGGCCGTCTGTGGTTTAAATCAACTGCATCAGCCTGAGAACGGGAAAAGACATATGTAGTTCAGAAGCAAGAAAACAGTGCTTACAATATAATTAGTTTCCAATTTGTATAAATAAGACCATTTCATACTGTTTCTCACTTTATCCGACGCACTTGAAAGTTTTGAAGTTTAATTTTATAAATCTAATGCTTAGAAGAACTTTAGCTTGATAGTGATGTAACTTAAAATTCATCTTGATTTCAAAATTTCATCTGATATGTTTTAGAAATGTACTGTTACAAGATAATGAAGGCTTAGTGATGCCCTGCCAAACATTGCTGAATAATTTTGAATAAGATGTGACATTGCTTATTTATTGATGGTCGATATCAAGTCACTTCAAGTGGGGCAAAAGAATCTCTTCCAAACTAATCAGAGCAAAAAAGACTAGCAAGACTGGAATTAAAAATGACCTAACAAATCCAGTTCCAAGAAATAACAACAACAGGTCCCAGTTGGAGTAGGTCTCTGCTCTAACTGCTCGACCTAATGATTTATGAGCGGTCAATCTTCGGAACAAGTGGCCTTACTGCTAATTGGATATAGAACAAGGGCATGCCATAAATTGCATTCCAACTTTTGGGAAGGGAGAAGAATTGCTGTAACATTCGGTACGAGAGGCCAAGTTTGCAGCAGAGAAGTACTCGAGGAGAATAAATCCAATCCAATCCAATCCAATCGAATCGCAAAAAGCATCATGCAGCTTAATTCAGTTCCATCAACCTTGTAAGAGAATAAAACATTTTGTAGACAGCAAAACTACGAAGCATCATGCTTCATGAGTTCTCTCGGACCAAAACCCACCTCATTAATAACTCGGGAAGACCAGAGTTGACTGGAGGAGTCATGCAATTTGCTAATTGCTACTTGGGATGGTCGATCAATCATGGAACAGAAAGCTAGGCAAAAGAGAAGATTGATCAACCATTCATGAGCGAATGGTTTGACCAAACATGTGGAACAGCTTATTTCCATCCCATCGACGACACAGATGTCCATCCATCCATGGAGATATTTACATAAGCCTAACCATTCGACATCAAGTGTTGGTGCAAGACAATGAAATAGTACTTCGATAGAGAGAAGATGTTACTTTGAGTTCTGTATAAACTAAACGAAATCAGATCAAGCTACCCGCGGCAATCGATAAAGTTGAAATTTTTTAGCAACAAAAGAAACAACAAAAAAGAGTCGGTAAGCTGAGATGATGATGAATTAGATGTAACAAATCCAAACTCGACAAAAGAAACAAGGGAAAAAGTTGGAGCAGATCTCGCTACCACCACCGACGATAAACTGCTTAACCCAATCTCATCGCAGTAGATGAATTCCCCTAATACTCAGTCTGAGAGGCCAAGTTCGGATCGGAAAATCAAATCACCAAAAGGCGATAAAGAAAGCATTAAATCGCTACAAACAGAAACAAAGATCAAATCGAAAATTATCAGTTCCTCACCTGCGTAGGCGCTATCTGATTGATTCGCGTGATGGTATTATTCCTACCATTCTCCCTCGAACCCGCCTCTCGGATCGAAATCTCCACGCTGTTGCTCCCCATTCCCTCGTTCCACTGCTTCTTCTTCTTCTTCGTCTTCCTTCTCTCTTTCTCCTTTTGCTCCTTTGGCCCGCTCTGTCGTCGCTTTTGTCCTCTCGCTCTGCTTTCTCTTTTGCCTCTGTTTCTCGAGAGAGAAAGCCAGACGGTTAGGAAGATAATGTGCGCCCCAAAACTATTTTATATTGGGAACTCATCCCTCCTCCTCTCTCACGAGTGAGGCGCCGGTTGCAACTTGTGGTCAGCTCACCCCCCTGTGAAAGAAGAGATCTGTTTAGCTTTCAAGGGGAATAAATGCGCGTCGGGACAGGAGGTGACCTTACCTTCAGTTATCGTAACTCGGTATGACGGGGCAATGTGACGTTGCGGATGGCGACAGGTCAGCAGAGAGCGAGGTCGTTGCCGTTCCCATTTTTTCTTCCTCGGATTAATAATGTTCCCACCCTTCCCGTACCCTGCTCGCCCACCGGAGGTCCAGTGGGACCCACTAATGAATCGATACTACGACCAGTTACGGGGCAGGTAGCCGGACGGGTTGGAAAGTATTTGCAGTTCACAATTTCACGAGGTTAGCGGGGGCCACAGCAGCCCCGTCCTCCCGTCTCTCGCGCTGACGTTTCCCGTTCACCGTCTGCTCTCAGAGTGTTACGAGCAAGGATGACTACGAACGACGCCGTGCCGTTTTCTTCCAGTCGATTTCTTGGATCTGCTTGGTGATTCGGGGTGGATGAGATGGACGGATGGATGGGCAAACGCAGGGCTCATTCATAGACTGATAAAGATGGCTGATCGCCGCCAATTATTGAGCCGAAACGCGTAGTTAGGTGTGGCGCAATTGGTTCCTTGGAGTCGCTGTCGCGTTGGATTGGACTGCACAAAGGAACTCAATTATTACACACACCAACTCAAACCACTTAACATGAGATTGCCAAATTCTTGACGTATTCAAATGTCCATGATAGGCTCAAGTAGGAGTGATGAGGGACTTTTGTGGGCCCTCGAACTTCCCAATGAGAAACCGACACATCGTTATCATGTTTTAAAAACGATAGACGATAGCATGTATTGTAGACAAATCATCCTCAATCAAAATAACCATAGAATAATAATAATAATTGATTTTCAGTTAATTATAATTGTGTTTAATTTACATATCATGTTAGCTGTCAGAGATTTTTTATAAAAAAATTATATTAGACATGTCATGTCAAAAGAACCATAATTTCCTCACTAGATTGATAAATACAATGTTTTCACTTGGATCTTATGGACTTTTAGCGCCCATAAACACAAACTAATTTTATTTGAAATTTATCAAATAAATCACAGTGTTAGTCATGCATAGTGTGGGATATGAAATACTGATATTTTCTAACCCTTGATTGAAGTGAGACATTTACTATCCGAGAAAATTTCTCTTTATTTTGAGTTTTGAATATTTAATAATACTTTCTTTCTTATCATCGACTGAAGTGAGACACTTGGCATTCGAAAAAATTCCCTTTTTTAAATTTAAATATTCAATGATCTTTTTTTTTTAGAATGTCATGATAATTAAGAAATAAATTAGCTCACAGCAATCTAATGTAATCCAATTGATAATTAAATTTGGCCACATTTAATCATTATATGAATTTTTGAGAAAAAAAAGGAAAAGTGCCTCTCATTTCTAGATTTTCTCTTTTTTATCCAATACTTGATAATCATCTATCTTTTTCTTTTTTTTTTTTCCAAAAGATCAATCCAAATGGGAAATTGATATGGTAGTGTGATAGTTGGTGACACTTCTATCACTCAATCTTAGACTTTATGTGTAGGAGTTCAAAATTGATTAAATAGATTATTTTGATATTCACTTGAGAGCCATATAAAAATCAGAATCGAATTGAGTATAGTTTATATGATACTCGAATTATGATTAATTGAAGAAAATAAATTCATAGACGAACAATGACTGAAGTCATTAACTATCATATCGTTCGGGTCTCGCTCTTTATGTCAAGACGACTACATAGCAAACCGCAACAGAGGGGTGAGTTTCTCCCTATCAATACTATTATAGTATTTTCAATAACATCAAGAAACATTATATTATAATATTTTTATATTATGTTATAGTATTTTCTAAGTAGTGTAGAAAACACTATAATGTAATATAAAATAGTATAAATGGACCAATTTACCCTATGGATCAATCCATATAGGAAAAAAGAAAAAAATAAAAAGATGATTGGGGGGCATTTGGATATTAAAAAAAGTTAAAAATTTTGAAAATAAGACTACTTCTTGAGAAAAGTTGAAAGAGAAACTTTTGTCCAGCATTCACACTTAATCATTTACTTTATAAAAACTTTAAATATAAGATAAAATGTTAAAGGGGTTGAATGTCTCAATTGATAAAATATATTATGATTTTTGTACAATAAAATATACTATAAATTTTCATTAATGAATATTTTATTAATCTCAACTGACTCAGTATGTATATAGTCATGTATCTATTTAATTTTAAATAAAATTTATTATACAAAGTTTTAACTATGGGATAACATCAGATTCAATTATTAAATTTGAGATCTCCAGTTTAATAGCTTGTTTAGTTTATAATAATTTTTCATTACTAAATCCCTATAAGCAAATCAGCACTTCTATCGTTGTTCTGAAAAATAAATAAATAAATAAATAAATAAATATGCAGCTTAAATCATCTTGATATTGATTTCTTCGTTAAATAAAATATGAATTATACGAAGCTAATTTTAAGATACTTGGAATATTTTACTGTGTAATCCATATGAGCTGGCTGAAGCCTTGTTTGTACATTATGGTGGAGGAAGAAGGCCCCAATCCCGTAAAAGCTTAATGGAGAGTCGGTTTGATCTCACATTGTTGTTAACTGATCATTCGATGTCTCATTTGCTCTCTCCCGGAGCCCTAGAAAGAAGGGGATAAACCCTAATCCTCGGAGCTTCTTGGGATGCGAGAACCCGGCGATTCACTGATCTCTGTCAGAGTGTCACCATGGGGGCGAGTCGGAAGCTGCAGGGCGAGATCGATCGGGTGTTGAAGAAGGTGCAGGAAGGCGTCGATGTCTTCGATAGCATCTGGAACAAGGTATGTTGAATTATCGTCCGTTTCCTTCTTTTCTTTTATTGTTTTTGTGTATTTGATGGTCTCGGGGACGTTTTGGTAGGTTCACGACACCGAGAATGCGAACCAGAAGGAGAAATTCGAGGCGGACTTGAAGAAGGAGATTAAGAAGTTGCAGCGATACCGCGATCAGATCAAGACATGGCTCCAGTCGAACGAGATAAAGGACAAGAAGGTTAGGGTTTCATCCTCCGGGTGGATTTCATTATTGTCGGAAGATCTTTGATCATGCGCACACATTGCGACCTATTTTTTATGTCATCTTTCCGGATATCGGTTCCTTCGTTCTCGCCCTTCCGGTCCTAGGGATTGTGATGCTGTTGAAAGAATGCATCTTGATTCAACGATTATTATTGAAATGATTCTACTTCGAAAGAAAAAAAGTTCTTGGAATGAAGGAGATCGCCTTGTTGCATAATTTGGGATATAAATTTGAATGTTCTGTGACAGTTGAATATTACCTTGGTTCGCATCTATTCAGTGTCAAAATAGATGTACCTTCTTATCCCCATTGGACTTTGCAAGTCAGCTTCATAAATTCAAATGGGAACAACTTTATAATTTAAACAAAATATGCATTGCGTTACTTTGACACTTGTGCTTGTTGTGCCTCCTTTTTCACTTGGTAGTGCTAGATCTTTCAGTAAGTTTTTATCATAATGCTTAGCATTGATTAGCTTACTAGATGAGCGGTTTGATAACCCCGCTTTTAAATTTCTTGATGGTTAAGGTGATAATATGGTGAATTACACTTTTGATTTAATCACTCATTTTCTTAACAACTATTTGACTCACTAGAGAATCTCAATGCTGGTTCTTCTCAGTGTTCGAACATGGTTTTCAATTTTTTTCTGAGCTGGGGTGTCAATGGCCAGTTTTTCCTATGACCTTTTGAACACTCTGATGCATTTGGGTTTCCATGGTACTGTTCTTTCATTACCTTTCTGTTGCTTGCTTGATCTGGTAATACACAATAAAGTTAGTAATTCAAAAGCTTCTTATTAATATCTTTTATTGAGGCTGGTAGCATCTTTTATACATGCTACAGTGGCATCTATTTATGTCATTATTCTTTGATATACTAATCAGAAATTATATCCTCTATAGTATTTTCATGGTAAAAAACTAGAGAAAGGTCAATTAGAGATGATTTTATTTATAAAGTAAGACATGATAAAAATGAAGAGAAGCTTTTGGCACACCATGTGATTATGTATCTTTTAGACTGAATAATTTTACGACATGACTGTAAGACAAGCCACGCCATGGGGATCAATAAGTTGGGCAATCAGGAACAACATATTTAATTGCATTCAAACCGGAGGTGACAATGTTGAGTTACATGACAGTTAGCCCATGAAAATGGTGCTTTAGTATTCAGCTACTTCCAAATTATTGACTAAAAGTATATTAAGTTATTGATTGGATGTGTCATTCAAAGCTTTATTTTTAGACGCTATTAGTTGATAGTCGTTGACAAATTTTATTGTCACATGTTTTGATATTATATGTTTTTTGTACTTGTCATTACACTCCATCCTTGCACGGAATTTTCTACTTTTCCATTCACTTTTCAAGGTTTATTCAACCAGTTTGTTATGTTTAATTCTGAATTTATTATGATTGAAGTATCGCTAAAAAAATACTGCTTTCTTATAAATTTGGGGTTTATAGTTATGTGTTTGACAATCAATTTTGTGATATACCTTGACATAGGTTAATGCCTCTTATGAGCAGGCTCTCCTGGATGCTCGCAAGCTCATTGAGCGGGAAATGGAAAGATTCAAGGTTTGTGAGAAGGAGACAAAAACAAAAGCCTTTTCCAAGGAAGGCTTGGGGCAGCAACCCAAGACAGTAAGTTGCATGGTGTCCTTTCACCAACAGTTGACTTTTATCAACAAGTAACCATTTATTTTTTAATCATTATGTCATATGTGCCGTGCCTTTTCTGTTGTGGAGTTTGTTCCGAGGAAGTGCTTATTCATCAGTTGCTAATTTATTTTTAACTTTAGGGTATTTTGAAAAATGAAATGCTCCTTTATTTCTTAGGGCTACTCTGATGCTTATATGATGAGTTCAAGGGAGCATACATTTGAGCATCATGCTCATGTATACTGTATTCAGGATGTAGTGTATTTTTCTAAATAATGAAACATTCAGTTGTTTGCATTCTCCTATGTTCTTCGTGTGACACGTTCCACAGACTCCAAATTAACATGTATGATACTGCACTGTTAATCATCTGGAATTTGAGCTTCATTTAATTTTAGCCTTAAAAAACATAGCTACTTTCTAAGGAGCCTTTATTTTTGGGTCCTTGATAGAGCTATGATAATTTGTTCAACTTACAGTTACATGAACACTAATATACCAACTATCTTGTAACTTGTTCTGAAATGCAAAGTTGTTATCTGAGACAAAATCTACTGCTTTTCATTCTCATTAGTTGCGGTCTTTTATCTTTCTTCCTGTCTTTTTCCTTTATCAGCATACAACAATTCATGTTAATTTTTTCTACAACAATCCGTGTTAGTTTCTTACTATATGGGACTTAGTGCATATAAGATAATAAATTAGAGTCTCGAAATTGAGATTGAAGATGCCTTTGCGAAGATGAAATTACCAAAGAGATGCCAGTCTGATGGCATGCTGTTGCAGCTGTTTGTTATATGTATTAAAATTATACTAAATAGTAATACTAAATATGAGATGTTCATTTGATGATTACTACAGATAATAATGAGTATGGATAATGAGTATTTATTTGAAAATATGTTTCTGGAAATGTCAATTAATATATATTTACATCTTCTAAATCCTGGCATGATAAAATTACTAAATGTGATATTGATATAATATAAAGTTTAGTTCATTCCATATTGAATTAGGAAAGAAGAAGAAATTATGAAGTTTTCCATGATGCTATTATTCTCTGAGAGTTTAAAGTTGCTGCGGGCAAGCTTTTAAGTGATTTTGTCAAATTTCATCACATTGTCAATAGGATTGTCTTAAAAGTCAAATTGTTATTATTTTGATATTGTTGAAACTTGAAAATACAGATTAATATTATAGTCCATCATCTGAAATCATAACATATTTCTTAGCCGCATGCTTCTACATTATAAAAAATAAAGAAAAGCATACATATATATAATAAATAACATGTGAAGAGCACGATAAAAAGCTAAACATGTTAAAGTTTGGTAGTAGAAAAAAGTTGTCATTAAAAAGACTAGATTTTGTCATGAAGGTTTCTTAATGGGATGGATAAAAAGTTATATAGAGAAAAGAGGAGAAATACCATGACTATAGATAAGAATTGGTTTGAGGGTGAGCATTGGCATCACGTTAAGGTTACTTTTTTGCGGGTTGCATGATCAGTGTTCGAGTCACAAAAGTGGTCTTTCTATTTGCTTGTTCTTTGACACCCCCATTGGTGAGAATCTTTGTGCACTGGGCTTGCCCTTTATAGATAAGATCCAATTTACTAGTTAGAGAAAAACTTGAAGAAAGAGAGCAAAAGAGTGAGTGCCTCCAAGAAATAAGGGTAATATCATGCATCAATTGATGCTTCCTTCTTTGTTAACGGACATCAATGTACAAATTAATCCATAATCTCTCTCTTTTTTTCTCTCTCTCTCTCTCTCTCTCTTTTACAAAGGGTAAGTGGCAAAGGCAGGATTCAAGTCCAGGAATCCATCTCTCTTAGTGTGACATTATTATGATCTCTGTTAAGAGATTGCTGCTAGCATACAAGAAACATTTATATGAAGAAAATAGTATAGAAAGTTCAAAACTATGACCTAGAACAAAATAATCATGATCGAAACATTATAATTAACACGGGATCTGCATATATCGATGCAACTATGCTTTCTTCCTCTACTCTGTATTTGACCTATCAAGAGGACCAGTTTGACAAGAATGAGTTTAAGAAAAATAACAAAGAGATCAGAAAGGGAACATGGGAGAAGGGTCTGGCTAAAAAGTGGTGGAAGAGGAGATTTGATGTTCATGGGAATCCATATAGAAAGGATCTGCAAATATGTAGTTTTATTTCTCACCACAGTGTTGGGAGGGAGATTTTCTCACGAGGCATGGGAAAATGATTTTGTTACCAACAACAGACATGAATTTAAAGGGTTCCTATATGAGGTTGAGTGAGAAGGATTCCATGTGATATAATTTTAGACATCTAATATTATACCTTGATCCAAACTCTTAAATTATATTTAGAGGAAGTATGCTTGTTGTTCCCCTTGTCTTCCACTTAGCTCTTTCAAGTTTCAACCTACCTCTATTTGATCAAATTTTATTTCTTTTAAGAACAACTAGATAAGGAAAGGTATGGACAGGCATAATGATCATTTGCTCATATTTTCTTCTCATGTGCACACTACTACAGCCGGCGCAATAAAAAAAAAAATCTGCACAAATACCAGAATATGGAAACTTGATTTGGACCTATGGTAATTAGTAACCTCAAGGTCCTCAACCAATGTTCTAAATCTTGATCATAGCAGTCTGTATGAAGGTCGGACTAAGTGTTTTGGTCAAAACATATAGTTGAATGTTGGTACAATAACATTCATTTTTATTATTTTATTATTTTATTGAATGATACTAGGCAATACAAGTCAGTGTATTGCCTGGCATACGGTATTGTACTGGTCTGGTAGGTTACTGAGAGCTGTATCGGACCAGGATTTAAATCCTGGACCTCAACACCAATCCTCAAAACATATGCTAATTTAGCACTTCAGTTTTGAGCGAGCTGCATCGGCCTGTAAAAGTATTTTACTGTACATGTCTGCTTTTACTGCATATTGTCAAGGAAGCTGAGTTGCTCTAATACTCTGTTGGTCAAATTAGTTGGAGTTATTTCTTTGTTGTTTTTAATTCTATATATGAAATGTTGTTGGAAATAGTTTATGTGTTCTGACTATGTTGATCTGTATTCATTGTTGCCCATAAAGAACTTGAAATTCGTTTTGCATGTTTGCAACCTTGCTTTTCTGATATTGTCTTTTGGAGTGCTGCCAGGACCCAAAAGAGAAGGCCAAGTCAGAAACAAGGGACTGGTTGAACAATGTGGTAAGTGAGCATATAAGCATGCTATGTGCATCTTCCATCAGCTATTGCTTCAAATTTATAGCTTCTTTGCCTCTACTAATTTGGTCATAGGTGGAGGGATTTCTTTTTTCTTTTTTTGTTTGGGGAACAAAAAAAGGGGGTAGAGCAGTACGGTGTGTTAATACTCTACTATCGTGGATGAAACTCCTCACTTCTATTAGTGTCATTTTAAAGAGACATATTATATTGAACAAGAGGTGTATCTCAGTTCCAATTTGGAAGCTTTGCCCCACGAATATTATCATCTTCATCCTTCTATTGGTTCATGAAACTTGACAAATTTTCTTGCTGTAGCTAATCTAACTCTTGTTTATTCTGTATCTTGAGTTTTTCTTCACTCAAGTACATTAGTTAAGTGATTGTGTGAAATTATTTTAGGTTGGGGATTTGGAAAGTCAGATTGACAATTTTGAAGCTGAAGTTGAAGGCCTTTCTGTTAAGAAAGGGAAAACAAGGCCACCACGATTGGTATTTAATAGAATAACTTTTCTTGCACAATTAACTGTAGCACATTGTTTGCTTTGATACTGAATATCTTGCTTCAGACACATTTGGAGGCATCTATTGCAAGGCACAAAGCTCACATTATGAAATTGGAGTTGATTTTGAGATTGTTGGATAATGATGAGTTGAGTCCTGATCAGGCTAATGATGTCAAAGATTTTCTAGAAGATTATGTCGAAAGGAATCAGGTACATCTTTGTCAAATCTGTCTGGAGTTCTTTTTCCATTATTGTTTCTGACATTTATATAATCAATTCTTCTGGATATGTTTGGCTGGTTTGTATTCATCCATTCTCAATTTCTGTGAAGGAGGATTTTGATGAATTTGGTGATGTTGATGAGCTTTACAGCTCTCTACCACTGGATAAGGTAGAAGCCCTCGAAGATCTTGTTTCACTTGGTCCTTCCAGTCTTGCTAAGGTAACGTGTCTTCGTAAAGTATCTTTTGTTTAGTGTGATATGCTTTTTGAAGGCGAATGTGTTTACCACTTAAAATTGGCGTCAAATGAACATTTTAGAAGTTTTTAAAGTGTTTATTCTGCATTTAGTCGTAGAACATGTTATTCATAAGCTATCTTCTTATTATACCATATTTTCTTTTTTTGGACACAAGAAGAGCTGCAACTCAGAATTTTTTTTCCATGATCATGCCTGTTAGTAGTTGTAACTTTTTGGAAGGTTTTGTTCCTTTTTTATGGTTGTATTGTTGATTTTTTATACTATTTTATTTAATTCTTGCACTGTGCTATATCATAGGTGGCCCATGACATATCTGAATACTCAAAATTGGAAATGGAATTCATAATGTTGAACTAAGGAATTGAATACTAGTAATATTTCTAAAGTGGAATCTTGTCAGATGATTCAGATCAGTACAGTATGCTATAATTTGGCAAACTTCTGTTGGTATTTATCAATTTGTTTGCAGACCGCTGCAATTGGTATGGATTGATTCTTAAATCAATGTGCTCAATGTCAACAATAATAACAACAGTAATAAATTTCCAATTTTTTCAGCTACATTGATCATTTCTGCAATATCATTGGCCAAACTAAGATCATCAAATCTATTTTTATCATTCATATCAAAATGTTTTTAGATTTTCTCTACCTCTACCCACATGGTTAATCCTTATCTACCAATCTTAATGGTTAAGCTTCTAAATGTTAATTATTTGTATACATCTAAATTATTAAAGACTAATAAAATCCACATTGGACATTCCTATTATAGAATCTGTTCAATAGAGGTTAAAAACAATTATAAGCCTATACATGAAGAAATATTAAAAACTTCGACTTTCAGGTCTTCTATCCCTGCTTCTTTTGATCCAGTTAAGTAGCTAATGACTTGACAAGACAAACATGCTTTACTTATTGTAGTGACACAAGTGATTCTGTGTTCACCTAGTTACTTTGTAACAACTGACAACTATATATATCACAACCCATAACATTTCATTTTTTAACATAATCATGGTCGTATGTCACTATGTCTAGCCATCGGGTGTATTGCACATCCTTGGCAATGTCTTAGGCCTATGCTTGTCATCTTGAGGCCCATGCTATATATACTATGCTGACCTGTATGTAGTGGCACATAAAAAGGCAATCCAAGCATGGTTGCTACTGAGATGACCTTTCCCAACATCTTCTGTCCTGATCCTTTCAAGAAATTCATATCTATTATTTATTACATGCACAGTTACATATGTCTTTTAGGCGCATGGATTAGATTGCCATACAGTGCCAGGAAGTTATCGATGTGACTTAAAGTGCATATTGCATCCATGCCACACCACCATGTAAAATGTGTAAAGCTCTCATGAGACTGTATGGTAATCGTGGTATACTGTCATATTTATCATAAACATAACGTCCCGGTGACTTACCAACACTGACATGATAAATGATACTAAATGCGAATGAACACATTTGTTGCACTTGTTTTAGTTTCAAACTTAAGTTGAGTATACATTGTGAGAACTCATATTTATACTTTGGGAATTCATTGACACATTTCTCTTATTTTATATTCAACCTAAACAAGGCATTGCATATGCAGGCTCTCATTATTTGCCTATTGATGTCTCTATGTTGTGATCTAATTGTATGTTGTTGATATTCACTGAAAATTTGCCATTGGAATTCATTTTAATTCTTACAAATGTCTATGAAGGAATTGAGCGTATGTAATTGAGTGTATGGAATTGTGAGTATTATTTCATTAAAGGCCATGTTTCTACTTATCACCTCAAGCTGTTCTTTATCTTCCTGGATATTTACTTCATATCTAACTGTTTAGTTTTATAAAATTCTCTTTAATTTTCAGTACTTCCCTTTACTTTTATATTCTCTGTAATTAGTGGTGATTGTAATACCAGACTTCCCTGAAAGAATCACTAAGTTTTTAAACTTATTTTGTATCTTGGTTGACAGGGTGTTGCTTCTGTTTTGACTACTAGTGCACTTTTAGGCTTGAAGAATTCTGTAGCGAGTTTGCCAACACAGTTATCTGTATGTCTTATTTAATGAGCAATAGAGTACACAACGTGAAAAAAATGTTAATCATAGGAATTAGTCAAATTTATTTGTTTTCTTAGTAATGCTAATCAGTAATTGATCAAGTCCAATATATATTAGAAGGTTCATGCTTGTAACAATTCCAACAGCATACCGTCACCCTTTTACTTGTTCTTTAGATGGACCAATTTTGCACAGGAGACATTTTTTAACAGACAGTTACTTGCAGCTGATGCTTAACTACCAATGTAGTAGGTATACCTACCTGAATTACAATTCTGAAGTATGGTTTTTGTTGTTGCACCTGTTCTGACAGAGCATTATTATGATATTGTAATTTTTGTTGTGGGTCATTGAGTGGGTTGATATTTGAATAAAAAGTTCTTAGCATTTAACATATTTAAAACATATTTGGTAGTAGAAGTCTCGTGCAGTGGGCCACCCTTTTTTGAAGAATTATTTGTAATATATCCACTTTTTTCTGGCCTATAATATCTGTGAGAATTGTTCCTAATGGTTAATTTTTGAATTTTCTTTCTTTTCGGTCCATATTATTTACAAACATGCTTTGGTCTGAAAAATGCATAATTTTTCTTTTGTGGTTCTGCATAATGGATCTTCTCTGTTATCAACAGACTGCTCTGTCATCGAATGAGTTGCAAAACACATGTCAGGACATAGGTGATGATGTAGCTTCTCAGGAAAGTAATTCTGATGTTGCACCAAAAACACCACCATCAAAGAGTGGAGCTATGGGTTCTTTGGCATCAGCAGCTCCTCCTGGTATTAGTTCTGGGTTAACGTTGGGGACTATTTCAGCTGCAACTATGCCTGTACGTCCATCAGTTGCTGGACCAACAGTTGCAGCTATACTTTCTGGGCCATCAAGCGTACGAGGTGTTACAGAGAACTCATCTGCTTCTGTTTCATCATCTCTTCTTAATTCATCCAGCTCGGTGAAGGAGGATGATAATATGACCTTCCCGGTGCGTAGATCGTCACCGGTCATCCCTGAAATTGGAATAGGGAAAGGTATAAGCCGAGGGATCTCTAATCAAACATCAATTAGTGCCTCCATGACTTTCAGTTCAGCCGGTGGAATCTCTGGAAATGTTCCTCTTGGTTCTGTTCCTGCAATGTCTGATTTGTCCAAGCGAAACATATTAAATGCTGATGAGAGAATTGGGAGCAGTGGGTTCGCGCAGCCCTTGACTTCTCCGCTAAATAACAGAATCCTATTGCAATCATTGCCAAAAACCAATGATGTAGCTGGTTCAAATGAATCTGATAATGTTGGTGAGGCTTCTGTTGCTGCAGGAAGAGTCTTTTCACCTTCGGTGGTTGCTGGGATTCAATGGAGACCTCAGAGTTCAGCCTCTTTTCAGAATGCAAATGAAACTGTATGTTGTTTGGATAACATTATACAAGTTACTTAACGATTGATTTGATCTTATATATTTTCATTAAATTAATGGTTTTCATGTTTCTCACCATACTACATCTAATATTGAACGAATGCTTGTGCTAATCGTCCATCCTAAAGTTTCTGGGTTCACATCTTTGATCTATTTCAAATTTGAATGTGATTGTGGTTTCTCATTTAATTACTGTAAAGATCTCTTCGTCATGGTATCTTATTCTATTCCATTAGAACTAGTAAATTTGTCAGCTTAGGTTTGTGTGTGTATGGACTTGTGATCTTTAATGCTTATCTGGCTGCTAATTATTTAGTTTTGATAAAAAGGCGCATATTGTCACTTGTCAGTCTATATTGTGGACTTTCTAGTTTCTAGATACATTTACATAATTTTCTGTTCTGCAATGCTTGTCAGTGGCAATTTTAAACTTCATGACTTTCATTATACTAGCTCAATTTTCTTTGAAATAAACTTTAGCTGAATTATAGAATCTTACTTCCCCTCCTTTAGTTAGTTTCTTGTCAGTCTATATTGTGGACTTCCTCGATACATTTACATAATTTTCTGTTCTGCAATGCTTGTCAGTGGCAATTTTAAACTTTGTGATGTTTCATTATGCTAGCTCAATTTTCTTTGAAAGAAACTTTAGCTGAATTATAGAATCTTGCTTCCCGTCCTTTAGTTAGTTTCTGAATCAAGTTCACTGATCATATTTTATGAGTATCATTTTTGTAGCAGTTCTTATTGTACCAATTGATCACTATAATTGCTAGTTATTAAAACATGTTTTTAATTCCTTTTGTCAGAATTTCTTCAACTGATTCTACTCTGAACCCCAATTGAGAGGGCCTTTTGTGTTGGGCTTTTAAACTTTTCTTTAATTGCTACCACCTACCTATTATTCGGAAATGTGTTGGACCCTATTTGTTATGATTTTATTTTTCTGTGCTAGAAAATGAGTTCCATTCTGGTTGTTTGTTGGTTTCGATTCTGAGTTGTTTAGTTACATAGATTTGGTTCGAACTTTTAGCTTCTTAGGTAAGTTGGAGTGAAATAGTATCAACTGCTTAACGAATAATTTAGTCAACGCAAATATATGTTATCGAACAGGAAAAAATTCTGCTTGTAGCATTTGAGTGGATAGATCCAGAATAGCCTCAACTTGTGTGTTGAATGCTTTCGTCAATTCTAAGGTACCTTGTTGAAATTTTTTTTTTTTGGGTCACTATTTTCTGTTTCTATATAATTTTTGCCTGCATCTTTTTGCAAAACTGTCTCTGTGAAGCATTTTCTGCATTTGTCTTGAACTCTCCCTTTGTCTTGTTTGATAATCCATTTACCTGCCTTTAGATATTGGAAAATTTTTGATTCGATTGAGCCCTTTAACTAGTCCCCCTATCCACTAGAAAAGGCTTGGATGGTGATGATTATGATTTGCCACTTGGTTGGTAGATTAATCTGATAGTTTTGTCTTTTCCACACAAGTTGGTCTAGACAGGCCTCAAATTATGTCAACTTAATTTTGCTCTTCTTTTGAGACTAGTTTTAGTTTTTCTTACGGACAACATTTGAGCCTGAACTTTTAAATAAGTTAATCTTTAAAATTAGGTTCTATTAATTAGAATAAGTCTGATGTTTTGAGCTCTACCGTTGACTACTTTTAGCATGTTCAATTTTTTACTCATGTCCTGTTCCTGTTATCTCTCCTTTGCAATGAAGGGCATCTTTAGTCTATTTTGTGTGGCCCATATAACTCCATAGTGTCGAATACTCTGGGTTGTAATATATTGCCTGTGGCCCTGAGGTTCCAGTTTGATGTGGTTTTCTTGTCCAGAGCCAATTTGGTGGACGGCCTGAGATCACTCCTGACCAGAGGGAGAAATTTTTGCAGCGTCTCCAACAAGTGCAGCAACAAGGCCATAGTAATCTTCTTGGTGTGCCACTTCTTTCTGGTGCTAATCACAAGCAGTATACCACACAACAACAGAATTCACTTTTTCAACAGGTTCTTTCCTTTTGACTTTAAAAACTTAATTTCTGTTTTTATTCCCTGTTTTACCTCTAAGAAGGTCTTTGGTTCTACTATATAGAATCTTTGCCCACACAGTTATTGTCATTACATGCTTAATTTTACTAATAAAATATTAATCTAAACTACCATGTAACATACAAATATATTTTTTCTTTTGATATTTCTCAACTAACACCATCAATTCCAATCCTAATCCCGGATAATAAAGGTGAACTGACAATCAGTGTAAAACTATGTTAGATCTCATGAACAAGCCAAACCCAAATAGTTGGAACTTACAGTCTTGTTGTTGTTGTAGTATATTCCTCAAATAAAATATGCAACCACTGCTGTGGTGCTTTTGTGTGTCTTCAATGTTAAAATTGTTGTTCATAAGCTGTAATTAGATGATGATTACCCTTTCTAAGAAACCAAACTTGTGTCTTGTGCAAAATATTGAGACCAACCTAGTCTATTAGAAGGCCTTAGAGCCTTTTTGTTGGTGAACAAATTTTGAATTACTATAAAGAAACATCATACCTGGTGTAGAGGGAGCTTCTCCAAAATCATAGGATATTCGAAAGTAGGGTGAGTTTGACTTCAGGCCTTGGTCACCATCAGATGTGTCAAAGTTATGAGCTATTTGAAGAAACATAGTTAATCTGCAATACCTTTATAAGTTCAGTGATGTTGGGTTTCTTTTGATATGTTGTTGAACATGATAGGTACTCAGTAATTATTGCAAATTTTGCATTTGAAGGTAGAAGGTAATGCTTTATGTTTTTGGTCCAATGGAGTCTGTACCTTTAGGACTCTGGAGAAATCCCATGTCCGCCTGTATGCACAGGTAATATGAAATAATTTTGCCATAATTTGGTCGACTTGGAAATAGTTGAATTGATGCTAACTGCTAAGTGAAGTCCACTTTCAATTTTAAGAGATTCAGTAAATAATTGATGGATGATCTGTAAATCTCATCTAATGTGAAACTGGAAACCAGCACGGAAAGAGCCTCAAGTACAAAAATCTGGCATGTACTGGATTGCACCATCTGCAAGGACTTGAATCAGATTATTCCCTTTATCAAATAGGCAATACGACAACTAAGCTAAACAAAGCTATCATTTAATGCAATGAAGAAATGATACAATTCAACTTATGTTTATAATTAACTAATAACTTGTGGGAGAAAATGTTTCCTTTCCTGGAAATTCCATAATTTCACATAATCTCACTGAAAGATATTTTCTCTCAAGATGCTAGCCTTAATAGATAGATCATAGCTACGTACATTCACTAACCTGTAATCTATTGATGGTAGGATTTTTGAGTCCTATCTTTTTGGGCATCGATACGATTCAAAGTAGGAGAATAAAACTCACTGAAAGAGCAAATAAAAATAATAGCAAAAGTTATAAAAAAATCATTGGAAATAGTTGTCCTATTCTACTCCCACTAGGAGCGAGTGATGAGGCTTGCTCAGCCCTCTCCTTTCCTAACTTGACTACAAATGGGTTGCAAAGGGCCTTTTTATTTCTATTCCAAGTAGAAATTTCTGTTCCCTTTTTGAGCTGGAGAAGTCCTAGAAATATGTAATCTTCAAGTTAGATTTGGTTTTCTGGAAGCTGGATTGGGGTTGAATTATTCGCGATGTGCACTTAGATAAAACTCAGCTGCTGGATTGGGCTGCCATGGGTGTACAAAGCGTGTCTGAGCTCCCATAGGTAGATCTTAGTTGAGTACACAGAGAATGAGGCTGTCTTAACCTGTGTAGAGGTTATACTGCCTTCTATTGTGTCTTCTCCAATAATGCCTGGAAGAGAGAATTTTGTCAGGAGCCAACCGTAAGAGGTCCTGGTCTGATTTGGGTTAAGTGGGACTGAGTTGCATCACAGCATATTAGTATGTTAGCAGGCCTTAAGAAGCTTTTTCGCCCCACCCCCCGCACCCCCCCGTTTTATGTGAACTGATACTCTACATTTGCAGATCACTGCTTGTGCTTTATGTTTGTCCTCATGAAAAAATTATATATTTTAAATTAATGCTTGTCCTTTTCAGAATTTATCTCCCAAATCTTTGACTGGAAAAGTAACCAAAGGGTTGACAAACCATGTGGATCAGTACATACCATTCGGCACCTACCAGTCCGCACAAGGATCAGAACACAAGGATTAGAACACGACCACTGGGTTTCGGGCCATCTGCTTGCAAAACAGACCTTATTTCCCAGTAACACTGTGAACTGGGTATTAAACCGACCCAGGGTGAATTTAACTCAAAGAGATCTGTTAGGGTTTCTTTTGAGTCAATATAGAGGGTTGAACAGCGCCTTCTCCCATTCCTCTTCCCCTCTCACTCTCGTTCCTTCTTCCCTCACTCGAATCTTACACCAAATTCTCCCAAATCCCACTCAAACCTCTCTCAAATTCAAGCAACAGTTGAAGGGGAGGCCCAATTTCCCAAGGAGAAAGTTGAAATTGAAAATCTGGCTAGATTTTTGTCTAAGTTGGGTAAATCCAAATGTACTTTGTTGACTTAATTACCTTATTTTATGTGCAATTAGATCACGATTAGTGTTGTTCGATCCTTGCATCTTCCATTAAGACTTAATATGGGGCTTGACCCACAAAAACAAATCCTTGAACTATATGGATCTAGTTTAGATTTGCAAGGATCATGGCTTGATCCTAGCAGATATTGACTAGAGCTGCATGGATATAAGCTAGATCCATGCATATTTCTGCATGGTTCTAAGCTAGATCTTTATGGATCTAGGCTTCATCTTTGTCAAAATATGTTGGATCCACATGAGTTTTGTTTGTATTTATCATGAAAAAGATGGAAAATAACCCAAAAATAAATTTTTTTTTGGGTTTCAGCCGATTGAAACGAATCGAAATGTATGTCGTGTCATGTGCCAGCATAACATGTTAGTGTATTGGCACCTACAGGACCCATACCTGTATGGCCATCGATCAGCATAGGTCCAATATCCAAAATTAAAAATGGTAGTGTAAACATTGGTGTTTTTTTGAATGCAGTCTCCATCCTTGTTTACGCAAAGATGCTTGATCTTCACCTCAGGTGTGTCCTTTGATTTGCCTTCAAAGTTGGGAAGCACGAACACGTCAACTTGGTGGGTGTATTCATGTTAGACACAGATACGTCGTTGACACAATTGGACACGTGTCTTTTTGTTTTATTTTATTTTTTGGGACACAACATATCCGTCTCGGACACTTATCCCGTGCCCGTTGGCCTTCCTCTCGTGATGCTTGCGTGTAACGATTAGTCATGTGGCCTTCACGTGAGGGTGAGGAAGCGTGAAATCGAGGGAAATCAAGCTAACTTGTGTCTGCCATCCAATGGAAGGTTGAAGCCATTGTCGCGCACACGATGACCCGTCGGCGACACACACCCTCGATGACCTACGAATGCACCTCTGTCAGCAATTCGTTGATGACCTTACCATCACCCATCGCATGACCCATCATCGGCGGCCTCGCTCGTGGGTTTCCCTCAGCGTCCTTCTTGTTGATCCATCGACTATGACTGGCAACAAAGCTCGTGTGTTTCCCTTGGCGTCTCTCTTGTCAATCCGTCGCCACCTGTGGTCCATCGCCTTTCATCTGTGACTTCGACGCCTCGCTCGTGTGTAAACAGCAAACCTACGACCTCCGTCGCCTTTCACTCGTGGCCTCGGCGACTCTCTCGTGTGCAAACAACAAACCCGCAACTCCGCTGCAGAAAGCCTTCTTTCTGTTTCTTTTTAGTATTTTTTTTAGGAATTGATCACCTTTTATATTCCCTAAATTATAATGTTACATAACGATATTGATGATAAATTTTGTTACTGCCTCTTATTACTATATAACAAAAGCAAAGTAAGTTATGTGGATATATGTTAGGAATTTATTAAAAAAATACCAAGCATACTATAAAATTCAAATAAGTACTATAAAACTCATGTTAATCAAATTATATATGTGTGTATACACACACACACACACACACACGTTTCCTCTCTGTGTTCGTATCCTTGTGTTGCTTCCTAGCTTCAAAGTGATATGTAGTTTTTATGAGGCTTATGACATGTAATAGATATTAACATATTCTTATATGTTTTTGTTTCTTCTCTTCTCGGTCATATATTCAGATGCATGCATATGTGCATAGGGTGATATACTAGTCAAACACCATCTGCTTCTCATCAGTGTTTTAGCAATTAGCAATCATCTAAAATGTGTATGCCTTTGTCACCTAGTTATTTGTTACATTTGTGGCTGTTTGATCATGTTTCATGTGGAAAGTACAGATTGCAAATGTGTGTTTGTGCATTGTCAATGCTTCTGTTGCAATTGATGATGTAGCGATCTTGTTCTAAATCTTCCCTTGTATATTATGCTAATAATTGGCTGTACCAAGAGCACCCTCGATGCAATCACTGTTTCCTTTGGTATAGAATAATTGAAGAATATACTGACATGAAAAGTCTTCTGTTATGTAAAAGCAACATGTATATCCTAGCCATATTAAACTTCAGGATATTCAGTAATTATGACAAGAGAGGCTTCTGTTGTGATGCTTGATCATGTTCTTTTTGCAAGTTCACTAATATTTTGTGACCTTTACATGTATGCAGTTTAGTTCTCAAGGCACTTCTGTTTCACCTCATGTTGGCCTGCTTGGAGTTCAGGGAGCAGGTCTTGTTTCTGTTAGTTCAGCCTCACAACAACAGCCAACTCCAATTCAACAATCCTCCCAACATCCCTTGGTATCAACGGGAACAAAAGATGGAGGTACCCAGTTTTTTTGTTTTTTCAGATTTTCTGTTTCAGGGAATCTTTCTTCTCATCATTTTTCTATATCATAAAGCAGATGCTGGGCATGCCAGCATAGAAGAGCAGCAGCAGCATAACGAGTCTGAAGATCTGATTGTAGACCCTGCCTCAAGTCCCAGTGTGAGCAAGATGATAACTGATGATGATGTGAAGACATCATATGCGGTAGGCATTTATAAGCACCATTCTTAAATACCCCCAGCTAAGCACTTCAATTTTCGATTGATCACATCTCTTTTAATTTTTTATGCTAATACAATGCATTTTTACACTTATGAGGTAAGACATGCTTCTGAATTATTTAGCATATGTTATATTATATATAATGAGCAGGATCATGTGAGCGCCTCAACCCTGGTTCAGGTGCACCCGCCCAGACCCAGATGAGGCACTTGGGCCTTACCTAGCCTGGAGTGCCTTGAACAAATCCTCTTTTCACTCCTAAAAGTTATATTTCATTTCTTCTTAATTGTGCACTTCTTTTTTCACTCTATAAGACTGCAAGCACAACCCTCTTTCCCTTCATCTATCTCTTTTGCCTTTCCTCATCTCGACCCTCTTCCCGGACCTTTTCCCACCTAAAATCTCTTCCATATTCAAGAGTTTGTGGAAGTCAAAATTCTCAAAGAGAACTTTCAATCGAAGATCTTATTTCGACCCAATGACTTATTTCTTCAAATTAGGTAAATCTGAACCCTATTACTTAGCTTAATAACTTAATTTAGGGGCAGTTTTTATCATGTTCCTGACTTAATTAATTGTTCTCCGTTACAAGTAATCTTATGCAGATTATGATAAAAACTGTAAATGTTTCAAGTAAAATTCTATGCAACATGTGTTCTAAGTAAAACATTAATTTTACAAGTTATGTCTGATGCTTCTGTAGGTGATTTTCTTTAATTGAATATTTTCTTTTAACAAAACTCAGATAAATAATAATGGTCAAACATTGATTGATTAGAATTTCTATTTTTTGTATCTCAAATGTAGTTTGGTTGGTTTACAGGATGCAAATTCTGTCTCAGTTGCAGAGGGTAATCAGTTATCTAGAGATACTGATCTTTCACCTGGTCAACCACTGCAATCTAGTCAATCTTCAGCAAGCCTGGGTGTCATCGGTAGGAGAAGTGGGTTAGACCTTGGTGCCATTGGTGACAACATTAGTGGCTTAGCTGGGAATTCCGGTGGTGTGCACGATCAGATCTATAACCTGCAGATGCTTGAAGCTGCATACTACAAACTTCCGCAGCCCAGGGACTCGGAACGTGCAAAGAACTATGTACCAGTAGGAATTTATTTCCTGTGTCGTATTTTGAGCGCTGTGTTAATTCTTCCCCTGAATTCTGCCAGACGTTTCAGTTTCATCTAATATATACATTCTTTTTAATTTTTTCAGAGGCATCCTGCAGTGACTCCTGCTAGTTTTCCTCAAATGCAGGCACCAATAGTTGATAATCCTGCCTTTTGGGAACGACTAAGCCTTGATCCATTGGGCACTGATGCTTTGTTTTTTGCATTTTATCATCAACAGGTATTGAGTCATTTCTTGTGGCCTTTTGGTTCCTTTTCTTCTCTGTTTGAACTGCTAGAATATGTATTTAACTAGATATTAAATAAATATGTTGCATCAGCTGCTGGATATTTTGTACAACTGATGTTTCATATTTCACTGCAGAACACTTATCAGCAGTATTTAGCTGCCAGAGAATTGAAAAGGCAGTCATGGAGATTTCACAAGAAATTTAATACATGGTTTCAACGGCATGAGGAGCCAAAAGTTACTAATGACAACTTTGAGAGAGGAAATTATATATACTTTGATTTTCATATTGCAAATGATGGTTCTCAGCATGGATGGTATGTTGGACTGCATTTAGTTCTCCAAGAGTCTTCATTTTTCGTTGTAAAGATTATTGTACTTGTATTTGTGTTTCTTCAAGTCTTATCACCTCCTTTTCGAAATTTATGACTAGTGTAAACTCATGACCTGGAAATCACTATTCACTACTACTATACATTACCAGTAGTAGATCAAAGATTTAGTTTCTTTTCCAATCTGAAAAAAGGCAACTGAATCATGTGTATGCGCCATATATTTACTGTTTGGTACACATTTGCTGATTTTTCTCTCATTAATAGAATTTGCAAATATTTGAGCTTTGTTATGAGATTTATTTTGCTGGCTTTCTGCTTTATAATCATCTCTCTGCCATTGTTTTTCTTTCTGCTGATTCGTTGAAACCTTGCTTGGTTGCAGGTGCCAGAGGATTAAAACTGACTTCACCTTCGAATATGATTTCCTTGAAGATGAACTTGTGGTGTAGCCTTTCTGAATCACATGTGATCCATCAACTAATTTCAAGTTTTGGTATGTTGCGATCTGTTCTTGTTATATGTTTATAAAAAGATCATATTTGTGAACTAAACGTGGTGACTAAGCCTGATGTTCGGAACCAGCTTTGCTTCTTATCAATCTATTATACAATTTCACCTACAAATTCCACTAGATTCACATGATCTATATGTTTCTTGCACCATTCAGTAACCTCTAGTGATATTGTCACATTCATCTGTGATGTGATAATGCATTAAACTGGCAGACCAAGGCATAGGCGTGTTGCAGCCTTGCAGGGAGAGGACACTACTGGAGGTTGACTCTTGTGTTGCCATGTTGCGTAATGTTATACGATACTCTTTTTTTTCTTTTTTTTTCCTGCAGGAATTTGGTGATTAAGTTCATGTGGAGCAGTGTAGAATTGCTGATTTGAACTTTTCCCCCTGGAGGAACTTCGATCAGGCAGTTACTGGGTGCAATATTCAATCTAATCATTGGAGGTAACCAAAGCAAGAAAGGAGGCATAGGATTCTTGATAGATGCTTTAGAACTAGCAACTTATTGTTGCATCTGTATACAAATCGATACATGTAGCTTTTCGAGGTTTCCATGGATTATACAGCTTCACTTGGTTGACACTACCTATTTTGCTTCAAAATGTGTAGGGATTTTAAGATCACATCCTATTTTGTTATTGTTTTAAGCTTTTGTTTCTCACTGTACAGCTGGCTAGCAGGCCTGCTTTGGATGCCTGTTATAATGTTTTGGGGCCAATCCTATTACAATAGAGTATGAAGAAATGGTGGTCATCTCTTATCTCAAATGTGAACTTGTGAATGTCTGTCTTTTTTTTTAAATTATTATTTTATTATAATAGTTTAATATATTTTTAGAAAAATATAGTATTTTATTGTAAGATATGTAATATCGTACCGGTGTTTTGAGGTTGGCTCGGTATAATATGGTACTGACATATCGAGTGGTATATCAGGGCATACCGAACGGTACATCAGGATTTATCGAGTGATTTCCTCTTACTGTAGTACTGTTACAATGTAACATTGTAATACTGTAGCACAATTATTATTGTAGTACTGTTTGTCGGGTAACAGACGGTCTGCGTATCAGTATGTCGTCGGATCGGTATGTATCACTCATACCGGGTGGTATCATTCGAAATTGCATATCATGTTTTATTGTTAAATCATGGACCTCTCATCATAGAGGGTGCTTTTGTGTTACTTATGTGCAATACTCCCTATGGGTGTCTATATTCCCAACTAACTCTTTTTTCAGTGTTTTTCAATTTCACAGTTAAATTGATGTGAAGAGAACTTTGTCTGCCTCCTGTATGTTTTGTTTTGTTTTGTGTAAATTGTAAGATCCGGATTTGACTGTCTAGTATTTTCAAAATATGTCAAAAGAGATTTTGAATTTTTAATATTTTGATGAGTGGAGTGGACTTACTACCCAGTTATCATCATCAATTAGATTATTAATGTTTACATGTTCAAATCTTAAAATTAATTAAGGTCTATTGGTTATTTTTTTTTAATGGAATTGTGGTGCATATAAATTGAAAAGTAAAATGAAAGAAGTTGAACAAAACCTTTTTTATTTTGTGTTTTTGAGTTCCTTCTAAAAGCCACATTATACTCTTTGCTTAAAAGATTCAGAATGTAGTGCTCATGATACAAAACTAAAGGGTTTAGTCTTACCAATGAGATTGATTGTCCATGATACAAAATTAGTAAAAAAAAAAAAATCTAATTTTAGCAAAACCCAGCTTATTAGTGGAGGCACAATTTTTTAGATTTTTTTGCCAGGCTAAGTGAGGAGGACAGACTTGGATCGCAGAACCTCATCATTAACTGACGGTCAACACACGGGTGATTGGTCCAAGAAATTGAGAGTTACACTTAACAACTTCACTGAACAAATCACCTGTATTAAAACTCTTTGTACCCTAACAATCACCACCACCACCACATCCAAGTGTTCAAGATCACAATCCCACAAATCTACTCTTCTATTGAGATCCCCAGGGGCACATCCCCTCCCAGTCTTTTCCTTCCGACTCACCATCAGAAACAAACGATACACCATGAGCAGCAGGCAAAGGGAGAACCGCGGGAGAGTCCGGAAAGCCCAAACCACATGTTTTCCTCTTGGTTATTTTTACATACACATCTAAAGACATATGGGTTATCCATATAACAATCATAGTTTGACCACCCAACTTCTAATTGCCTAAAGTTGGCACATTAATAGCATCATTATCATTTCAAGTGAAGAAATGGGGGTTCAGTTCTTTCTTTTCTCGAGAACACATCTTTGCGCTCTTTAACCATATGCGAATTCAGAATTCAGGGGTACCTTTGTTTTCTTGGTCCTCAAAAAGTTGTTCGTCCCACACACGAGTCCAATTCAGATTAAGTTGGTACTGACGGTGGTTCGTCCTCTAAGGCTTACAGAATATGGTGAAAGAACCATCATGGAGGCAATTGCATCGCACACCATATGATCTCTTAGCACGATTATGCGTACCATTCGTGGACTTAACTCTCTTTACCCACCGCTCATTCAACTAACGATTAGCTTACCCTTTGCGGATGACTTGGACAAATTCAGTTAACTGCATTATAGGAATTAAACACAAGTATTCTGTATATTACACATTGCGAAATGTTTTGTATGAGTCGAAATGGATGTGAAATTTGAGTACTACTAGGAAGAATCCATGAGATATAATATATAATGACTGAATCAGAAACTCAAGCTTGGCTTCAACCCATACAATCTCGTTTCTTCAAATTATATTTACACACTCCTTTCGGAGACAGCAGTAACACTACACCCGAAAGAAGGGTCCTTTTCCATAAACATATGCAGGGATGCAATGATGCCCTAGGCAACCAAAACACAAATGCTAGTAGTAGAGATGACAAACATGAATGGACACATGAATATACAAGGTTATGATGGGTTCTACGCTACATAATCGGGAGAAGTTCTGTATATTTCCTCCGCATGTGCTGCGGGTACATACACTACGTCGGTCAGGGAGCTGTGGGTTCGTCCATAGAACAGGTACACCAAAACCCCAATCAGCAGCCACATCGAGACACGGAACCATGTGCCAGCCCTGAGTATAAAAAATATTGCAAGTATTCAAGTTCAAGGTCTCTTATTCTGATGGTGCCAACATCAAGTTATTCTAGTAAATTATTTATATGCTAATTAACATAAGCATTGATGTTTCCAAACTAATCGATATGCAGATATACTAGCAAGTATGAAAGAGCAGCATGCGAAAGATAGATGGAGGAAGAAAAGATCTTTCCCAGCCTACCCAAGATTTACTAGCAGGTATGCGTTGATGAGGATGCAGCAAACGGGAAGAAATGGCACAAAGGGGCAAATGAAACCTGTCGAGACCCAGCCTTGGAGGTTAGAACAAAGTCACCAAATCATTAGAGTACCACAAAGAACATATGGTCAGTACCTCCGGTATGTCCAAAATTATGACGAGCATCATCTTGATCGATCCAGACAAGCACAAATAGACCACCCAGAAGAAGCAAGCCGCCGACAGAGCATGCCAGGTAGCGAAGGAAGCTGTTGAGAAACATAATTGGAGGATCATCAGGAGTTGCTAGACAATGAATCCCAAATTTTAAAAGATATTCAACGAACATTTAACATTCAAATGTCGATGAAAATTGTAAATGAGTAGCTTATATACATGTATGTAGTAAAACAATGATTGCATGAGCAAGAAGCAAAGCACTCCATGAGAAGTAAAGACACACTGATTACCCTACATAGAGTTCTGGCACCATCATCGGTGATACAGACGATGAATTCACCATCTATATGCTGTTCCTTCTGTGGACTATAAGCTTAAGCTGGACAGTAACTCACCACAATGGCAAATAAATATCAAATTATTTCAACAAATAGGTTTGTGACTTGGATCAATTCTTTCAATTATACAACCAGGAAATGTATTAGCAAGCACTATTAGAAGAAGTGATTAAAATTGTTCCAAACCAAACAAGAAAATCTGTTGTCACAGCCAGAGTTAAGATTTACACAAACTGGTCTTGTAGTGACACTTGAAGCAAATTTCATTCCAGATCCTACACTTGTGATATTACAATCTGAACTTCCCCTTGTTAAACTAGCATCTTGCTCTCTGGTTCCAAGCATACCACAGAAGACGAGTTTAATATTGAAAAAAAAATCTCTATTTTTTAACATAACATGTCACAGCAAAAAGTTGTATATCCAATAAATTCTAGAGGTATCACACTAAAAATCGCCAAACTTGTAATCCAGCATATGTAAAATTCTTTAAAGATCATTGGATGCATCTGCATGCCGCTTGGTTGGGTAGTTACCACTGTGCAAGATACATATTTCATTTGTCTCATGAAGAACTAAGGTATTGTTATATTTAGAGAAAATAAAGCTCATCGAGGATATGCTTTAATTTTTTTAATTTTATGAAGCTGGAGATGATCACAATTGCATGAGTTTACCATACACTGATCATTTTGTGATTGTTAATAGTTGTAAATTGATCCAGTAAACAATTCATTCTAGAGCTTTACAGAGCCTAAGGATCACAAACATTTCATCTGTGGCAGGACATATATGCAGTTGACAGCAAGACTTACTCAGGCAAGAATGTGTAAGAAGCCGATGTAGTGAGGATAAGAACTCCAAGACAAACAGATGCAATGCTCCAAGCGGCCTTTTGTCGCCGAGTTTGTTCATTGAAATGCTCTGCAAAGATCAACTAAAAATTGACTACTTGAACACAATGATGCCAAGTCAACTATAAGAAAATGCAAGTTCATGTTCTGATTATTAAATACAAGTACACATAACTGAAATTACGCATGAAAGAGCAGTTGCACATGAACTCTTCAGTTATCAATTAGGCTAGGAACTCAACTCAGAAAGGGGAGTGTTTTTCAGCCATCAGTACCTGGATTGATTTCCTTCCCAATTAGAGGACAGTTGACTGATTCCTTATTAATTTCTTGAGATGGGCCATCATATTGGTTTTCGCTACTGCCGGTATTTCCAAGAGAATCTGCCTTGTCCCCATTGTTTTGAACACTGTAGCGATTTGAAACTGAATCAATTGATTCCTGGAAAGATGACGGCAGAGGTATCTCATCTGGAGGTACATATCTCAGTATCAAGATTGAGATTGCAACAATGGTGAAAGCAAGAAGTGTGCCAACGCTGACCTACACAGAACAAATACAGCCGACAGAGTGGTTAGTAATGAGACTTCACACTTTGGTAGTACATCCTCAGCTTTTTATATCTTAAAACAATCTCACCATTCCTGCCAATTGAGAAACATCCATGAAGAATGCTAGGGTTGCTGCGAAAATCCCAGTCAAGATAGTACTCTTGACTGGAACTTGTGTGCGCACATTAACATCTGAGAAGAAAGATGGCAACAATCCATCTCTAGCCATTGCCATCAGTATTCTAGGCTGCGATAAGACAAAAATAATGAAAAAATTTATCCTTAACTTCTCATCACTTATTCAACGTTTGCTTTAGAAAAAGCTACAAATATATGAAGCAATCACAATCAACGGTGTACCGGTGAGGTTAGCAGAATAACAAACTCAGGGACACGGATATTGTAACTAAGTTAACCAAAACCAATAAATTGCAGATGGAGAACTGAAATGGCTCATTACTTGAATTCCAAAGAAACAAAGTCGGTATGTTACAAGCTGCGAAGATCAATCCAATAAAGAAAAAATTTATCCAGACTACACCTTCATATTTTGTAGGAAAAATTCATATGTTCCCAAAAGTCAGTGATTTTCATATTTAGCCTCTGAATTTAACTTTGGCATATGTATGTATCCCTACAATCTAAAGTCTATTTTTAGACTACTACCGGTGTCTCTCCAAAACAGTATGGGATCTTCACCTTTTCACACATTTCATTTGGGTCCTATACAGTGGTTTACAGCCTATCCCATCCCAACATTCTTTTTTAAGATGGCATACCATAATGCTTGTTTCACAAAATCCATTTTCATGTCCGTTTTAAATTGTATTGGCATCAGCTATCAGTTTCTTAAGCAAACATCCTCTCAACAGGATTGGATAGATTGCAGAAAAATATATAGCATTGTCCAAGGATAAGTAGATTCCTAAAAAATCCACTTCCAATAGTGTCTACAAAAATAAAATCGAGACAAATTAGAAAAAGCCTTCAGGACTCCTTGATTTATTGTATATACCTGTGGGAGAAGGGAGCCCATTAAAGCTGAGCAAAGTGCAAGAACGGCACCAGATGTGATAATATATCTGTTATTGTGAAAGGAGCAAGAATGATTATAAAGAGTGACTAAATATATAATAACTGATATAAAGAGGCAACATCTACATACACTGCCCACTGCATATCATTTCTCGCGAATGCAGATGAGATTGGGGTGTCAGGATCCATTGCAAAGTATGGAACCAGGCCAACGACAACAACAGAAACCATCATATAGAGTAAGCAACATACAGACAGTGATGTTGCTATTCCCAATGGCAAATCTCTTTGAGGATTCTTAACCTGCAACAAGAGACTATATTAGCCTAAGAAAAGGGACTAATCAAGAAAGAAACCAGATGACGATTATTCTATCATTTTCATCAGCTAACGCAATCTATTCGCAATCAAACAATCATGTGGTCATCATAATACAATTTTCATAAAGCAACACTCAGTGCAATTTTCAAGAGCAGTAGAAGCAAAAAAAAAAAAGGAAAAAGCTTACCTCCTCAGCAGTGCTAGCAACAGAATCAAAACCTATGTAAGCAAAAAAGACGGTTGCTGAACCAGCAAGCATCCCATTTACTCCATAAGGAAAGTATCTGAGAATTTAAAAAAGAATTAGCAACTTACAAGAATCAATTAAATCGCTACAGGATACTTTGAGTTGTCGTTAGTCATTACCCGCCAGCAACAGTATAACCAACCCATCCAGTCTGAAAGCCAATATATCCACCAGCAATAATGACAAATAACAAGACACAGACATTTGCAGTTGTGACAATTGATTGTACAAATGTGCTCTGCATGAAAAACCATCTCTAGTTAAAATATCCTAAGATACCAGCTAATGAGACTGGCAATGTGAACTTGCACTTAGCTACATACCTCCTTTATTCCCAAGCATAGTAATCCAGTCACAACAAAAACAAGAATTGCAGCACATGGATCAACAACAATATCAAGGCCTGGGATGGAAACACGTGCCAAAAATGAAGGCAGACTATCTGGTCCTCCAAAAAATAAGGCCTGAAATCATTTTTTTTTAAAAGAGCGTCAACATAAAATTTTTGTCTTTAATCACTGCTCCAAGAACATGAATCGGAGTTGTTACAACCATGTTATGCATAGTTGAGGAATAAATGCATGCAGCAAAACTTGGAGAAAAAACATGGTATCACCTACCAACGATATTCAATCTAAAGCGAGTGCAATAGGCTAAAAGCACAGATGAGATCCATCCAACTCCAATAATCAAACTATCCATAACTCCTACATTTATTAACTGTAACTGCTTATATTAAACGAAATCTTATAATGATTACTAATCCTAAGTCAATCAAGAATTCCATATGATTTGCAAACTTTAAGATATCTAACCATGACATTATTGTCCTCATCATGACTCAATATAGCACTCACCGTTATGCCATAAAGTTTTAATGGATGTCTACCACACAAAATACTATAGCACTCACTGTAGTCGAGTCAAATCAACTTAGGTGAAAGACACTGGAAATGATGAAAATTCACTTACAAAATTTGGGGATATGCCACGTGCAACAGCTGACCCACCAATTGTATATTCCAGAATCAGAGCCCATCCAATCAACCAAGCGACACTGACAATAGAAACAACAAACTCAGAATACCCACAAGCCTACATCTAGAAGCAGTAAATTAAATATCATTCTATTCACTTCATTCATTCACTATCGTATTTTACATTCTCTGTATTTGTGAATTTAGAATAATTCCCATATGTGAAATAGTAATAAGGCATATACAAGCTAAGTTATTTGATAAAAACAAAGAAATTACCCTTCTCCGACACATATGTAAGAATAGTGGTAAGCACTTCCAGCAGAAGGGCAACGGCTTGCAAGCTCCGCATAGCAGAAAGCTGAAAGAGCAGCTGCTATCCCAGCTATCAGAAAAGAAATGGTGAGAGCAGGTCCTGCATGTTCTCTGGCAACTGTTCCAACAAGAACATAGACTCCGGCACCTATTGTTGCACCAACACCTAAATATAAAAGAAGTAAGATATTTGAAGTCATTGACTAACAACAGCCAATAATCTGATGTAACACAAGAAAAGTAAGATTAGGAGAAGGCAAAAAGACTTGCAAAGGATCAGAACTCTCTCGGGGGAAAACAATTCAATCCAACAATGAAGCTAAGAGAACAGATTGGGAAAGAAGCAACATGAAACTAGGGAAAGCAAGTTAAATGCTAATGGCTTCAGGATAGTAAAGGCTACGAGTATAACCATTTTATACCATGAAATTATTGCAACCAATCAAAACCTCCTGCTGTTTGCATGAGCTTCTGTATCAATACAGTATCATCTGTTAATATTTCAAGATGACCGAAGAGTGTTCTTTCTTATACCTTCATGTGTGTGTTTTCGATCATGAACAGAGAAAGAACAAGATAAGAATGAACATCACAAAATCGAAATCAAGCGAAATGAGCAGAGTGCTAGACGAGCTCGATATACTGAAAGAAAGATTTCTTCCCCACTAATATAACATCCAAAATACAAATTAATACCGAAAACGAAATTCTCCAAACTAGTTTGTGTACCCAAACAGAGTCAAGCCAAATTTCCGAACAGCTAGACAATTCGCTTCCATAAAAAGAGAACAAAAGGGGATGAAAACCACAAACGACATGGGGGAAAGGCATCGGTTTACAAACTTCCCAACAGCACTAAAAATCACCTCTTTGTTTTCTCTTTTCATTCTCATGAAATCAATTATATGACGGCTTAGATCGCAACGGCAACCCAAAAATCCGGAAGCCATAAGAATCATCTAAGAAACTCCAAGCAATCAACGATAAGCGATACCTATTGCGACGAGCTGCGGAACCGACAACGCCTTGGCGAGCTGGTGATGCCCTTCCTCGGCCCTGACGCGGTTCGAATCCACCTGCTTCCTCCTCGTCAGGCACCGGAACCCCGAGCGGACTCCCCCACCCTCCTCGAACCCCATCACAAGAAAACCCGCAAAGAACCCCAAAAAAGATGCCGAATTTATTCACGAACGGAGACGCTGAACCTGACCGAGATCAAATTCGTCGGGATTTCATGCCACCAAGTCCCGACAAAGATTGGATTTTATCCCTCCTTTCGAGAGGAGAGCGAGGAGATAAAAAAAGGAGAGAGGAGAAGAGGCAGAAGAAAACGACTTCGTCTCCCTTGTTTATTCTTCCTTCCCGCTGCCCCTTGCTCTTCTTTTTCTTATTCCTCCTCCTCTTCTTTTCAAGGAATCTCCCGCGATCCTCCTCTTCCCCTCCTCCGATGGTTCGCTCTTAAAGGGCGGAGATTAGAAGGAGAAACAGAAAGAACGGGAACGAGACGAAAGCGGGCGATGATCCTCTACAATCCTTCTTCTGGCTGCAACAGAACAATCCTAAATCTGGCGTCTGATAGAGACTGTACATAGCACGATGAAACATGATCCGTCGATTGAGACCGGATCCGATCCGTGTCGATCGCTGGAGAGGATCCCGCTACTAAGAATGGAAACCGACCAAACTGGGTAAATAAAGGAAATACACCAAACAAGAGTCTCTCACCCGTCTCCCCAACCCAGTGAGGGAACTTTTGGGTCCCACCGAGCGGGTAAGGAACCGGACGAGTAGGTACGGTACGTATGTTATGCCCTGCTATAAATGCGGTGGAGCGGATCTTAAAGATTCATGGATCTTTTCTTATTTTTGTTTTTGCCTTTTTGTTTTTATAAACACGGGTGTTCGCACCGTATCGGTGAGCATACCGTTCGATGCCCCATTGAGAGCGACTCCACTTACCTTTTTTTCTCCAAGGCTCATCAGTGGGTGGTCCCATGCAACATGGGGCAAGCTTGTTCTATTCTCCACACCCACATTGCAATTTCATGTTCCAAATTTGGGTTGCATTTGAAAGCTACCTCCTCCATGTTAATGATTTATTTGTAGGAAAAAAAAAATAGCCATGATTGACCAACAATTTGCACCTCTTGTCTCTTAAACAATTATAAAACTTAGATTAGACTCAAATTAAAATTTAATGTGCTTTGGAAAGTTTCAACATTGACTTGATTAGATGTTTATGTTCCTTGTTCAATTAAAATGAGGACCTTTTTTATAAAAATATATTAGGGATTTTAGAGTTTGTATGAAATTTATATATCATAGGAAATTTTTTAATTATTTTTAATATCAAAAAATAAAAAAAAAATATTTTTTTGTGCTAAGTCTCATTCGTCTTCATCTTTTCAAAATAGTCAATTTTTTTTGACATATTATTTCAAGTATCTATTCATTTCTTGGTAGGATGTCACATTATTATCAACAACATCATCATGTCATTATTGTTTGATTATAATTATTAGACAATCATCATCACAAATTTTCGATGGTATATTGTATGAGCAAAAAAAAAAAAAGAGAGAAAAAAAATTTATTTATTTTTGAATAGTATTATATTTTGATCTTTTCAATGGAAAAGACTCTCATCAGTCGATGTTGACATGGGAAGGGCAAAAAGTATGGGGTTTTCATGCAATAGTAATATAATGTGTTTTTACGGCACCTCATTATCACTGATGTCATAATGACTGCCACTGCATGGCACAAAATTAATATTATATACGTGCATTCACAATGCACGGCATGTGAGGAAAGGGACCGAAAGAGATTGCGGTGGGGGTGGCTTTTGGCGTGTTGTGCTGTGTCCTGCAGGCTTTCTTCCGGTAGGGGGACGATCCATACGTCATGGCTATTTGCAAGCAGCAGCGCCCGCCGGTTTTGATCGTCCTTTGAGACGCGCTCCATTATTGGTCTCGGAAGGAAGGAATGGTCAGCGCATGCAGGTTCCCCACTGTGTTCTCGGCACAAGTTTGAAGACCTTAGCAGCTTCTCCTTTGTTTCCGTGGTCGCTCATCTCCATGTTTGTTCTCCATGTTTTCAGAAACAACAAGCTCAGACCTACGAAATCTGATCTTTAAACGGAAACAAGGTGTAAAAGCTTTCAGATCTGATCGCCAGTAGGAAACGAAGTCAGATTCCTGAAGTAGGGATCGAACCTTCTTCTCTACTGATTCCTGAGTTCAGGGCTTTAGATTCTTCATCCCACACTTGTTTTCCTGTAGGTCACTGTTCTCCATGTTTCGAGAAACAAGAAGCACAGACTTGTAAATCTGATCTCGAACAGTTGCTGTTTTCATGCTTTCAGAAACAAGGTGTAAGAAGCTTTTAGATATGATCTCCAGTAGATAACAAGTCAGATTCCTGGAGTTGGCACCAAACCTTCTTCTCCAATGATTCAATGGAAATAAATGATTTCTGAGTTGAAGGCTTTGGATTCACTATTCTATCTACCATCATGAAAGGTTTCAGTATCCCAGAAAGGCTGATGATCTTTTAATTCAACGATGTCATATTACAAATGGAGAAATATGGGTGTAGCATGTAAGCTGGGTTGTGTCCAAACAAAACCAAATCATTCGTAAATTGGATTGAGTGGTGATGAGAAACACTAGGAATTGTTTCTTTCTCACGCCCTGCGTGTCTGTAGACTTCGGCGATCCCACTTCATTCAGAATCTCTGATCAAAAGTTGTCTTGCATATGAAAGTTCAAATTGCCAGATTGCCAACATGCTTCGTATGAACTGTTCTTGACACCAATTTGGCTCTTGGTTTGACAGGAAATAATAGCTTGAGATCTTATCAGCACTTTCTGCTTCACAGGTTGTCCCAATGAGAGTCCATCTCTTGGACTCATCTCACCATGATTATTGCAGAGAATCTAAACTTTCAACAACAGGAATTGTCCCTTAATCACTGGTGGATTGTTTTGGAAGGAATTGGAGTTCAAAAGCTTAAACTTTTTAGTTGTGTGCCAAACTGAATAGTGTTAGTGTTCATTTGCATAAATATTTCTGATTTTTTTTATTGTCTAAACCTATCTTTTTCTTTTTAATGTGTTCACTCATCGATGTCTATCCATTGCGGTATAATTTATATTTATTAGTCAAGCCGCGATTTATCCTTGTTTACCCAGCTATCTAATTCAATGTTTTAATTTTTTATTAAGTTTGATTTGTTTATATTAAAATTAATTAGATCGAACGAAGTCAAACATACATGATAATTAAGACCAATAAAATTAATTAGAATAGTTCGAAGAAATATGCTACACTAATGTAACTCTTTTTGACAAACAACATGATAATAAATATTATAGATATAGGGAATAAATCTCGTGATACCAAAAAAATGAGTCTTTCACATGTGCATCAATTTTGTATCGGACGAAAACTTTAAACATCAAATGATATATATATATATATATATATATATATTATTGTCCATCTTATACAATAATTATTGTCATGATTGGAACCATTCATATAGGAATACTTTTGCACAAGCTAAACCACATTTAGGCTTATTTATATGAAAAGAAAGTGAAGTAGCAGCAAAATCTTTGATGGTGATATGGTCATTGGCAGAACTCTGGACCTACTGCCTTCTTTTTTACGAGCAGAAGTATGATTTAGAGATCTCAAAGGGATGGAGAGTTCTGAGATGGAATCCAGCTTTGTCCATTGCACAAGAAATACTCGAATGATTTCTAATAGTTCTGTGCACTCCTTCGGATGCTGGTGAAGTTTCAACCAAGTTCTTGTCTGCTAGAGTGAGAGTATATATGTTTTAAGAGTGGCTGTGATGCCTTTCCATCTGCATGCTCTGATAACACAAGACTTCCATAAACACTTTTTTGGCTTAAAACTGGTTAGGATTAGAGGAAGGAAAAGAAAAGGAACAACAGTTAAGGAATGATCCTATCCTTTTTGTATGCTTTGAATGCAGAGGATGAGACTGTGATATCAATAATTGATGAAATGGATGTGTGATGCATGTTTATTGTCTGCTGCAGCTGACCACACTCTTTGCCATCTCCTCTTCCTTGGTCTTTAGAAAATAATGGACAGGTACACATACTGATCAATATTGAGAAATGCTCCCTTTTTTTGGGCATTTATGTGTAATTTTAGCATGATGCCAAAGTAATTTATCTTAAATATTTAATACTAAAAACATGACAAATATGAGAAAAATGATAACATTAAAAATATAAAGAATATTAATCGAGTTTTTGTCGTATGATTCGATCCGAGAAGAGTATTTGAGAAACACAATATAAAAGTTATAAAATATCAAAAATATAAAAACATCTAGATTTATTTATTTATTTACATATTGACGACTAAAAAAGATTTAAAAGGTTTATCGAAAAAACTTTTTTTGATGATATAAATATACAATTAGTCCAATAATATTGAAAGAATATTTTAGACCACATCAAAGGGGTATCATTATATGATAAAAATATTAACAAAATAACAAGAGATGATTTTTCTGGTCAATGTTGAACATATCTGCCACTGTGATGGTGAACCAAAGAAACTGAGCAATAAAGCCACTGAAAACGAGCAAGCAATCATTGAGCACCGGCTGAGTTAATACCCCCATCACAAAGCTCTCGAAATTGTTCTCCACCCGAAATGAATTGATGGAGAGTGCACTCCTGTGCAGTCACAGGACCAGCCTCCTTGGAAGTCAACAAGGGAGAATAATTTGTTCTTATCCTTGTTCCAGAAAGATAGGACAAAGCTTGATGGCCATGGATTGAGCCATCTCTGTACCATCCTTTCCAACTTCAAAAGGACAGCTATAGTTTCAGCAGGAAGTGTGTGCAGAATTCTGATTTTTGAGTAGCTTCACAAAAGGAAGAAGAAGGGAGAATAACCCAAAATTTGGACTCTTTGGATTAGTGGGAAAATTGAATTTGAATTACTGGCAAGTTTTACTCAGATTGTAACTCTTTTCATCACAGTCATTCTAGCATTTCCAATGACTTCATGTATGAGATCTTAAAGATGTGGTTTTGTCTATGAGTGATTGAAACACTCCATTATTAGTTAACAATGCATTGTTTTCTCAAACAAGGCTTTGCCGTGTTGTCCACAGGATTCATTCGCTTTTAAGATTAGATCTTTCGTAGGGCTACTGTTAGAAATGGCCTTCAATTCCACGTGATGGAGTTGATCCGATCTGGTTTCTTTTCTGGATGGTATTGTGTTTTGAAAGTTGGATGCCACTTGCGATCTTACTCCTTATCTCACTTCATTAATAGTGATTTCCTCCGGTTGAAAGATCTGCAAAGCTATGTTGGGAGCATACTTCTTTCCGATGCTGAGTTCATAGGAATGTGTCTTAGTTTGGAGAGTTCATAAGTAAGCGAATAACTGAAGAGAACCTCCTTTTATATGCATCAAACTAGGTTATCAACGAGGAGTATTTCCTTTCGAATATCATAGAGATTAAACTCGTTTAAGTGGTGCCGCATTATTGTCATGATTGATTGCCATGTGGTTGAGTTTTGATTGATTGTCACGAAAAAAAAAAAAAGAAAGATTAGTAAAAGATAATATTTTAAAAAATTTAGACTATACGATTATATTAAGAGAAAACAAATTAAGCATATAAAGAAAAATATCTAAAAAATTTATTGAAATTATTTACATTGGTATTTGTGGACCACTTCCTATTTTATTATATTTATAGATGACTTATCAAGTATGATTATATGCATCTAATACATAAAATTTTTTGAAGTTGATGACACTCGTGTACGAGGTCGAGAGATAATTAGATAGAAAAATTAAAATTATCATATCTAATATGGATGGTAAATTTTATGATAAATATGATAAGTCAGGTTAGAATACTGATACTTTTGTTAGATTCTTAGAAAAATAAAGTGTTTTATGCTAAGTATACCTTACCAAGTATGTTACAATGAATGACATTATTAAAAAATAAAATTATATTCTTATGGATATAATTAAAAGCATAATGAGTCATTTCTCTAAGTCTAAGTTGATATGAAGTGAAGCTTTTAGGATAACTATATATATCTTGAACAAGGTTCCTAGTAAGTTAATTTTATCAACTCTATTTGAGTTATGAATTGGTATGAAACTTAATTTGAGATATCTGCATATTTAGGATTATCATAGAGATAAAGAGTCTTCGATCCATATGAAAAAGAATTGGATCCGAGATAAATTATTTGATAATTAGAGAAAAAGTCCAAGACAATAAATGTCAATTGAGAACCCAAACACTATCTTGATAATTGCTAATCCATTTACTAATGCTTTATATCCTAAAGTGTTTAAAAATATATATTCTTATAATGGAAATTGTGATAAGCCATAAAAAAATATGATAATATTTTTTACTTAATTAAAATTATTTATTTTTATTATCTTATTTATATTTATATTTATAAATATATTATATTTAAATATGATAATATAATTATCTTAACAAGATAAATTATAGAAATTATTATAAATGATATTAGAAAAGACTAACAATATCATGATCTAGGAGGGTTGACACATACAACAACTATGACTGATAGTGAAACTTAATGAAGTATTATTGTACTTATTGCTCTTATCAACTTGTTTTAAAATTTTTGATCATATATAAAATACTTTTCAAAATTTTCATAATCTAATTAAATAAAATTTATTTTTTTTATTATATTTATTTTAATTTATTTTTTTTATAATTAATAGATAAAGAAATAGAATATTAAATTATGTGACCTTATTTAATTAGATAAAATATATTATAAGTCTAATTGAATTATACTTATGTTATTGGTTAATAAAAAAAATCTATTTATAATAGGATTCTTTATGAGATGAGAGAAGAAACTTTCCTAATCAATAATCATAGTTCTGTTGTTCTTGTGTATAAATATATAATATATACTAGGGATTACATACAATAAGATTCATGATTTATTCTTGTCTCTCTTTAGTCTCTGTTATATCGTATAAACGATAGAAAAATAAGATAAGTCAAGTTTTCTTTTTAAATTAGTATTATAGTATTCTACGGATCAAACTAAGGAGTTCATTTTATGAATCAAATAAAAATATTATGGATAATATCGAAAGCTACGTATTCTAATTTTGATCTATTATTATTTGATTTTAATTTTGATATTAAATTTGCATCACATAATAGTATTACTAATAATTTATAAGGAGAGAGCATTGCTTTAATCTTATCATGATAACGTACAAGTTAACCAGCAGAATAGCTCGTGAAACAATTAAGATAACACCAAGACAAAATGCTCCAAACAATGAACATGAGAAGGCTGGTGAACGTAGCTACGATTCATGTCGTTGTGCTTCGTTCTAAGACCAGTTACAAGGAAAGGCATCGTTGAGGTCTGACGAAGTGCATGAACGCTTTCAACATCACAAACAATGCCACTTGACCAACTTCAATAGTGTTATACTTTAACAGTGTTTGCTAATTAGATGGGACTGCTTTTATCATGTCCTGTCATGAGAAAAAAAGTGTTGCTCGGATGTGAAGTTGCATGAACATTTCCACTTCACCAACTTCAATGATGTGCCTTTTGTCTTCTGCAACAACGTGATTCGCATGGAATGCATGGGCAGGTCACCAACCTCTGAAAAGCCTACACTTTTCCCATCATTACACTATGTGTCACAGTTCGAGAGGTCTCATGATGGATTTGATTCCACAGAATGGTCTACGATAGCATGTAAAGACCATAGCACAGAGGACTACATAATCTGTTGTCAATGTAGCTCGTCATGCAACAAGACCAATATTTCACATCACAACTCTGCATCCTATGGATTTGATTTTGGTATTATCAGAAGTACAGAAATTTTCTTCAACTTTCTCTGTGTTTTGAAGCACATGATTTTAGGAGGGTCATAGAAATCGTAATCTCACTTTCACTCGTACACAGCCGTGGACGACACCCTAGAAAGCCACAGTGATGAAACCTTGTCAACTGTTTATGGTGACAACTCCAGGCATAATAAAGTCAGTATTAGCATGAACAAAAAAACTTCACGTGCTGCTTCATCTATATACCAATAAACTGAAACTTGTAAGGGTGAAGAATGATGCAATTTGGAGGGGACATGAAGTTCACATCGGGGAAGCAAGCCAGACCAGAAGTAGGTAAAGGAATTCTGGAAGAAATAATAGACATATTAATCTGCAAGTTCTCATCCTTCCACGAGTTTGATTTTTCAAGAATCACAATCCACAGAGATTCCAAAAAGAAAAAAAATGATCGATCTTTTCCTTTGTATGACAGTAAATGATTTGAACGGGTGCAATGCTAGTAAAATGGAGTTCTTTTCCTTGTCGACTCAAAAGCAGTGTTTTGGATATGTAAAGATTGATTATTACATGAAGCCATCCATTTATTTGCCAACTAGTTATTCTAGGAATTTTCTTGAAAGAGCTTCTGCTACCGATATGTAGCCAAAATATTAAAGCACTGAAATATGTCACAAGAGGGATACTGATGATGAATGGCAAATCCAATTCTAATAATATGATCAAATTTTTTTATATTTTTTGTAATTTTGAATCCATGATTGGCTCAGAATTTGGAGTCGATCTCGAGTAGCACAAGATGTCATCCTCAATGCACAACTCAGAATGCATGAGCTGCATTTGCAGTCGATCATACATGGTGGGTATCTACTACTACTACTACCTGATGACTGATATACCTAAAATATAATGGTGAGCCAATTTGGCGCTGAGGAAAACAGCAGGGATACAACAAGCCGCCTCCTATTTGGACACGCATTCACATGTACACAACTCTTATTTCAACCAGAATTTAATCCCAGTTTGACGATGTCAAAGAAATGAGAACAGATTACTAATAGTCTCCTCCAGTGGAAACTCCACATCAGTTGTGTGTGCAAAATTTTGTGGAACATCATCAGTGCATCCACCACACAAACGCACACACCACCAGGACTGTAATAACCATACCTGTATACGCAATCCACTTGTCCACGCGGTGTCGCCGCTCAATTAGCTTCAACACGGTGTTAGATAACCCTACGGTATTAAGGATGTCCAGGGCCTTCCTTTGGGCTCTCTGCCAAGAAAACAGCCAAAAATTGTGGGATAACATGCGCTCTTTAACCTTTTCTTGAAGGGAATATAAGATAAATAGCAAACCTAAAACTGTATTGATGATAATATAAAGATGTCAAGCAACATATGGTTCATCTTTTGTTGACGAGAATGATAACCGGTTGATGATCCCATGACTTACCTTCAAGCGATCCCTCTGCTCGGCGTACTTAGACAGAACAGCCACTCCAGTGGCATATGCTTCTTCCAGCATCATTGAAGAGTTTCGTGCGGATTGCATTGCTTGTGCTTCCTCGTCAAATATTCTCAGAATATGCGCAGACTCCCCATTCTGCAGTTAACATCAATATATTTGGTTGAATGCTATATCATGCCTAAACATCAAATTTGTTTTCAAATACTTATCATACAAAGGTGTGATGCTTCTTACAGCTCTTTCCAATAATTCTGCACGTTCTTTAGCTTCCTGCACCCTCTTTTGTTGACGGAAGGAATGCTTGTCAAGACTTTCTTTCAGTGAATCCACCTCTTCTGCCACCTGTTCCACTTTTCTTCACCAGCACAAAACAACGAAAGACATTAGAAATTTCTTAACCAATACTGGGCAATAGCATCAAGAAGCCTAATAGTTTGTTCTGTCTATACACCACACACAAATTACAATATAGTTTTTGGAGCTTGCTAGTCACATTTGTACATCAGAGAAGCATTTTGCATAAGGCTAGTTAACAGAAAGAAGATTAACCTCAAAAGTGCTCAAAACCCATCCAAACTACATAAATTGGTGGAAACACAAACAAAAGATCTATATAAGATGGACTAATTGATTTTAAAACTTCTGAATGTGACATCTTAGTTAACTAATCAAGATTTGGTTCTTAGAGAATCTAGTGAAAATAATTGAATGACTTGAGCATATTACCAATGAAATTGAAGACAAATTAATAACATGCCCTATGCAAACAACTATAAATTATGTGTATCTACACACACACACATATGCATATTATGGTGATTCCCAAAATCAGATCAGGAAACTAACTTTTCGGCAACTAGAAAGCACACAAGATGACATCCAAGAAGAGGTGAGATGATCTTCAGACAACTTAGGACTCCAACTAAGCCATCCATCACAATATTTGCAGTCATAAAAACTACATATCATCGGACTAATATTCAAGCTCTACGAATTTCTGAAATAAATAACATTCTATTGCATCTCAATCTCACCAAGGAAGTTCAAACGGACAATGGAAAATAGTGCGAGAGGATACATGCTTGATGATGTAACTGGGTTTTTGACTCTGCAACAGGTGTTGTTCATTTTTTACTCTGCAACATTTAAAGAATGAACATTCTGCTGGCTTTTATTTTCTAGTTTTTCATTTTGGTATTTGCAGATGATTCTTTTTATCATTTTTATTAGTCATTTTAGAAAGCGTTTCAGGGTCATACTTTAAGTTGTATTGATCCTTATATAACTAATGTAGTATTGTTTTGATATGAATTAGCATGGGAAAACATTGCATGGTTAAAGTTCTTGAAAATTCTAGATGTCTCATTAGATGGTCAATAAGTTTGTTAACCTTTCTTACAACCTCTGAAGTTTGTCTCAATAAATGCCTACCACGACTGATAATTTTTATACAAGAAATCCACAAAATTGAGGGCAATTGGGTTGGAAATAATTTATATATTATACATTTGCTTGAATGACAGTGGATCTTTGATCGATGGATGCGTGCATCTCTTTCTCCACCCCCTTTCTCCTATCAATCACTTAACTGGCATTGCTTTCTTTTTGCTGCCTTCTCTTATCTGCAACAATTTAAATTTTGATTTCTTCCACAGATCTTTGACGTTTGTTGTTTTCTTACAACAGCAAACTTATTAGTCAACTTCTCTTTTGTCCAGGAAAATATCCAAATGTGAATCAGTATCCATTTTTACAACCCTGTCACATACCTTTTACCATCAAACTTGATATCAGATCTTATGATGACCACTGTATTCTATCATGAATTCCAGTTCATAATCTAGTACCCAATAAATGTTGCACAATTGTCCTATTTCATTCATTTGTATTGAAGGGCGACCCAGTAAATGTGACTCCACCCAGTGCACACGGTTCAGTTCATTTACTCTGTGATACCACTTTATTTTTATATATGTCAACTCACTAAAAAATCCATATCATGATCTTACAAAAGTACAAATTTCCCATGAAACACACATCATTTTTCTGATTTGCCTACATCTTATCATAAAACATAAATCTATTTCCTTACCAGAAGAAAGACATTAACTCCTACAAATCTTGCTGTGGGTAGACGTTACACCTTAACAAGGGCATAGTCTCTTCATAAACAGAAACACCAAACCATCCAAAAAGAAGCTATGATCCAATTAAGGAACCCAAAAACACCATGAAAGAGTATCTACTCTTTAAGGTTCTGATAGAGAATTTCTAGACTGGGCAACAATGACAATCATTGAGAACTATGCTGGGCAATATCCTAGTTACATGAAGAGCGATCAGCACTTTCTTTATAATGGTTTCAAAATATGGTTTGATCAGAATGACCCTCGATTTCATGAGCAAACATATTAAAGGTGAAACAAAATACACAGATATAAGTTGAATTCTACGGACATCTGCATCCAATCAGAGGCTTCTCAAATAAAACAGAAAATCCCAATTAAGCTCTTCACATAAGACATCACATGAAAGAACAAAAATTATCACCAACTTCTCCAATTTAGACCAAAAGGAATGAGTACGAAATCAATCAACCAAATAAGATTCAATTCAGAAATCATACACATATATGGGAAATATACGCGGAGATTAGACCCTGTAATTGTTCACTTAACCCTAATCGATAAAACCATTATATGGAAACCCTAATCATCCATATGGATCACGAAGAGGAGCATTCATGCATCAGATCGCAAGATCGACCCCGAAGAAAAAGAAGGGGATTAATCGACGGGTTATCGAATCGGATACCTCTTCCAGAGATCGCGCTGGCCTCTGACGGGAATCGACCGCCAGAGGCGATCCATCTCGGCACATAGGGAGCGGATCTGGGTGATGTCTCTCTTGACCGCGAGGGAGAGCTCCGCCGGATCCGCGACCGAAGGTGACGATGACGAAGCATACGAGGAGGAGGAGGCGGATGACTCAAGACGCTCGAGCCGCTCCAGCCCATCTCTCGTCCGGAGAAGTAATCGCCGCGTACTCTGGTAGATCTCAGAGAGGGTTGCTCCGCCGCCTCCAATGCCGCCGGCTTCCATTGGCGGAGATCTCGGGAGATGATGTCGAAAGAGAGGAAGGCTAACATACATCCTGAGCGCCCAAGGAGCTGGGATCTGGTGTTGTGTCCATTACAAATACAGATTGCCCATCCAACTAAGTCGTTGCGCGTGTTGGTCTGGAGGAGGTGCGGATAAAAATACACCCTATCTATTTTATTACCACAAAAAGGGAAGTGGGGCCCGACGGTGGTCTCCACGAGAGGCCCACATCACCAACGGCCACGCGCATAACTCATGACGCTGAGTCGGCGGAGTCATTTTAATTTCTTCGTGGACAGATACGTCACCGGGTCACACGAGAGTTCCACCCCCCTGCTAGCTACCGTCTGATTACGGTGCGGGCCCCATTCGCAAGCTCCTCATGGTCGCAGAGTCGAGTGGAAACGCAGGTGTGCGATTGCTTTTTATTATTTGTTTAAATCCGACTCATATAACCGGGTCCGCGTGATGAACTCGGTGCGTCCAACAACTCGAGAAATGTAGGACCCACAGCCGGACGCAGCGTCGGGCCAATCGCAGTCACGGGTTCGTGGTTGAGCCAAGACCGAATCCTCGTTAGCTCTGGATTCAGACTGAGGTCGATTTATTACGCGTTAGCGATTCAATTTCTTTAGATAACTCTCTCATTACTGACACTGCAGATGTAGCGATCCAATTTATTACATCATGTCTTATTATTATTATTATTATTATTTCTTCCAATCCACAAGTCTACGTGCAAAAGTGTTGGAATCATTAAATTCTTGAAGTCTCCTTGGTTTAAACCATCTAATAAATAAATAAATAATGCATTAGTAAAATTAAAAATAACATTAAAAATTCATGTACAGCTAAAAATAAATTATAAGTAAATATAATAATACGTGGCACGTTGCTGTCGGCTGGTTGTGCCCGAAACCGTGCCACCATGTCCGCGTCAACGCCGCGGGCAGGAAACGCGATCTCGACGTGCAAACGCTCGTCCATGTCCATTGAGCGTAGATTGAGGAGATGGTCTTCCAAAGATAGCTGTTCTTTGCCTATAAGTAGAAGCTGTGATCGATCGCCATGTCCAATAAAGAGCTACAGATCAAAGAAGGAGAAAAGAAGAGGAGAAAGGAATGTCAGGGATTATCCATAAGATCGAGGAGAAGCTCCACATTGGAGGAGACCACAAGGAGGAGGCACACAAGAAGGAGGACAAGCATCCTCATAATGAGCACCGCAAGGAGGAGAAGCACCACAAGGAAGGGGAGGGAGGAATGATGAATAAGATCAAGGAGAAGATCCATGGCGGAGAGGAGCATGGGGAGAAGAAGGAGAAGAAGAAGAAGAAGGAGAGGAAGCATGGTGCAGAGCATGATGGCCACAGCAGCAGCAGCAGCAGCGACAGCGACTGAGTCAAATCTTGACGTGGTCTTACATGGAGAAATGTAGCTGCTGATGAACCTTTCTGAGACCTTTTATTTCTAAACATCTTCTCATCATCTTTTCTTCCTTTGGTTTCTTTTGCAGGCTAAGATGAAAGTGGATCTAGGAATGGAGACTTGTGCTACCTTGCTTTTGTGCTTGATCTTTATTGTAGTAATAATAATATGTAATAATCATGAAATAAATAACTTTTAAGTGCTTACTTTTGAGTGCTTCTTTTGTATTGCTTTTGATGAACAGGAGTGTTGATTCCTTTCTGTGGTTAGGATCAATTTTCTATGGAGTTTCATCCATTCGGATGTATATTGCATGCTGAACAGAAGGCTGTCCACAATACATAAATTTCTAATCCTTATGCCCAAATTACAAAGAAGAAACTAGGAACATGGAATGGAATCAATATAAATGTACTCAGTGAAGCTAAAAGAATAAGAAGTAAATTGAAGTACTACAAGCTCAGAATGAAGCAGAGAGATTTGAAAGAGAAAAGGCCCATGATATCATCTGAAACCCAGTTTTCTTTCTCTTTGAAGTATATGAATAGATTGAGCGGAAGAAATTTCAAAAGACAAAAGAATGCTGAAGAGGTGATTGTCACACAAATAATAAATATCTTCTGTTAATGACACTGAAACAAAAAAGGGATCTTTTAACAGAGAAAACAAGGAGATATTGAAACTTTGGCACCCACCTGTGAGTTTATTTACAGGGGAAGACATTGTGAAGATTGTTTTTATTCTCTCTAGAAAGAGTGCTTTTACATAACTAAATGCATCTTTGTATGATTGGAACTGAGAGCACATAAAGTTGAAGTCTTTGGAGTGAGTGTAATTCTGTATTAAAATGGGAGTATCAGATGAAGAGGTGTAAAGTGTGTTGTTTTCTGTTACTGAATTCTTTTTTCTATGTTTTCTTAGAAATTGAAGAAACAATTGATGAACTAATCATCAAGAAACCTGTAAAAGATCCTTCCTGACTAGGTTTCTTTTTCTTCTCCAAATTTAAGCTTTCTTTAACCATGCAATTTGTGGGATTAATAGTAGTAAAGTTAGCACCATGAAATCACTTCATTGAACTACAAACAGGGGCTGTACTCAAACACATTGTAGTCTATTTGGTTCTTGTCTTCAAGAAGGTTGTTTTATCAGAAGGAGACAAACAATTGCCTCAAGAATCATTCAAAAGACAATAGTTGTTCTCTCTGTCCTTAAAAACTATAATAGATTGCTTGAGTCAGGCTCCATCTCCATCCTTGCCTCCTTCATCATGTTCAGATTTTATTATGCAAAGTAAGATGTTCCAGTTTACGCTATTGATAAAATCCCAAACCAGCTATTAGCAATGATAAATATATAAATATCAAGGCAGAACATTAGCCTCAATGATTCACTATTTGTCCCTAACCAATGTGTTTTCCGATTTCTTGAGCCTTTAAACTATGAGGACTATTTTTCTTAAGTTGATTATCTGCTATAACTTAAAACTCACAGTAATTGCAACATGAGAGTGTGAGTTTCATATCTGCTAAACTTAGTTTAAAGTCACTGTTGCAAAGTTTGAAGATGAAAGGAGAAAAAGTCTCTGATGTGTAAGACCAAAAAAAAAAAAGCAAGATATATCAGAGAGTGACTTTTGAATGCATGTAATGTATAGAATATTATAAAGAATTTAATCAATAGATTTAGATACTATGTAACATAAAAAATCAATTAATATCTGATTTGTAGGACAAAAAAAATGCGAGATATATAAGAGAGTGACTTTTGAATGAATATAATGTATGGAATATTAAAAAAGAATTTAATCAATACATTTGCTAATATGTAATAAAAAAATAATTAAAATCTTGAATAGTTACTGACATAATTAATTTTTTTAATATTAATTGCATACCTTAAAATATTAATAATGATATAAGAATCAATATTTAATGCTCTCAAGTTAACAAAATACTAGCCAATACTTTAGCATTAATGAAGATAATTGTTGAGCAATAAAAAAACTCCTATTTAATCCTCTAAAGCTATAGACTAATCACAGGCTTGTGCAGGTTGGTTCTTTGAAATACAATTTCAATTTTAAGAATAATTTAAAAGTGTAGGAATCATGTCCAAATTAATCCAATTCACTAATTAATATTTCCAATTAATATCTTAAATTGTTTTTTATTTATAATCAATGTTCAGAATTCCTTGTTAATATTCAAATTTTCAGTTTCCTAATTACTTCACAACTTAAGCTGCTTTTTCCCAACTAATATTTCTAAATGTATCCCTAAATTGCTTTTTCTTTTCTTAAATAATATTTGTGATATACCTAATTAACATTCAGAAGCAATTTTTGTAAATGTACACTATAGTTGTATACAATTGGATAGAAGTTATTTAACATCCATCATAATGGATGATAACAGATATTGTAATGCCACTCTCTGATATATTTCAAGGTAGAAGAATCTTGAGGACAAGATAAGATCCAAGTATATGATTGGGACATGTCTCAAATCTTGGATGAACATGTGAGAATGTTGGAGTGCATGTCTTCCTTACAGGACCAACTTGACATCTCTGTTGACACCTAATTCATTCATATGAGGACAACAAAACAAGAAACCTTCATAAATATATGAGGAGATACTTCAAACAGAGGAACCATGTGACAGATAAAGCCATCTGACATCTTGTGGTTTGGGATCTGACAGCAAGTGGATTCTTCATATTGTTTTTGATAGTTGGTTATATTGTGGCTCAGAGATCTTTGTGTGGTGGAGTTTATCAATGTGCAGTTTTGGATCTTTCAGCAGAGTCTGCAGACTTTGCTTGAAGGTAAAAGCAAAGTTTTCGATTCTATTTAGGAGTTTAACAAGCTAAGTATACTGATTTCCTTTAACCCAATTAATCCTCCTTGACTTGATGGAAGTTCAGAGGGTTGAGTTTTCTGAGGTAAATTATCTCTGAATCATTTTTGCTGGTTGAGATCACCCAGATTAACAATCTAGATAATATAGGTTGGCTAATAATGATGCCTAATTCGAAAAAAATTTAATTAGAGAGCATAATTACTTTGGCACAGATGAATGAATCAGATGAATTTTGTGGAGTAGCTTACATCACTTGTTCAATTCAATGATGATAATAAGATGGAACAGTGACTTACTGAAGATCCTATCTTAGGTGCACCTAAGCCATGAGAGTTGGCACATGAGCAAAAGTTTACTTATCCTCCTCACCTTCCATGTCTCAAGTTGGTAATCTAAATTGAAATCATGAAGAAAAGGTGGACCAATGAGTGCTCAGAGTAGTAAGAACCATCCAACTTTTTCTTCTGAAAAATGCAGGTATCATCTAACTTGATTGTGATGTATCTGAGAGGTTGGAGCAATGCCAATGGTGAGTCGAAAGAAACACTTTACCACTGGTTCTTTAACTGATGCATACAAGGAAAGCCAATGAGGAAAATGCTTCGTTCATATGAGTTTGATGTGGGAGTCATACTAGCATTAATTCTTTTTTATTATGTAATAGAGTTGCAGGAAGTAGATAAATGCAGCAATCATTGTTATCGGTGTACATGAGCTAATTCAAATTTACAATCTAAATGCAATGGCATGTCTTTCTTTGGCTCTCTTACCTACTGCATTGACAGTGGAAAACCTGACTTATACAAGTTGTATGCTAACCTGATTTGATAAGATTCTTAACTTTACTGAAACTTTTGAAACCAATTACTTAGCTAAATACAAAGTGAATGACTCTGAATTGATTGGAAGATGACCACAATGTTTGCCCACATAATCTTCTTGTGTTATGATAGCAGAGAGACCTTGCATGCCATGAAGATGCTTTGCCAGTGATAATGGGTCCATTTTCTTCTTTCTTGAACCATAAAATGGTGCAGAGATAAGATGTGCTGCTGAGTTCATTGTGTCTTCATCTCCACAAGTTGGATCCTGCTTTCCCTTCTGTGTCATTTTACTGCAGAGTCACCAGGTGAGGATAATGCTATTTTGGTACAGAAGACTGCAAGGCATGGAAGAACAGAACTACATATCATCAGCTTTTGAAGTAATGTTCAGAATATTCCAAGAATTTCTTGAATCAGTTTACAGATCCAAATCATTGGGTGGTGTCAAATTTTAATTTCAATTTAGTGTTCTTTGATGGAAAGTAATTGATACATGGAATTACTATATTCTTTTATGGATTAAATAAATAATCTCATTCCATGAGTCCTCTTCATAGTTTTCATCACTTGTTTCAATTTAACCTGCTGCTTGTTTGACCATCATTTTATGTCAACTTTCACATCTAATCTCTGAGACTCGAGAAAGGTAATGGACATCATTCACATGAAGGGAGAGGAAAAGAGGAAGACTGGCTTTGACATGGAAGCCCACCACCATCACCATCTCACCAACCATTAGGCATTGGGGTGGCACCTATCTCCACCAACCCCCTCCACCCAACCAGCCACCAATCCTTGCCCCCAAACAAAAAAATGATTTTTTTTACCTGATCACCGACAAAATCTTATCTTGAATCACACAAACATGCAACTCATGAGCATTACTCTACAGTATGTTGGTTATAGATTGATTTGATGATAATATTCGTATAATATTATGTAATTTAATGTGAAAAATTAGATTTTATGATATGATCTTGTTGTGAAAAGTTAGATTCTTACCAGCTAAATTAGCTGAAAATTTCAAAAATGATTTCGATGTTGCCTTCCAAATAGCAATAAACTAGCCATAACGGGTGTACTTTTCTGGCTTTTCCTCATTGGAAAGAGTGATGCAACGCATCAGATCTGCTGCTGCTGTCTCTCCATCTATAAGTACTGGTATAAATCTCCTTTTACGCTCGCGGCTCTCGTCCTCCCATCTCTGCCGTGCTCTTCTCGGGGACCGCTTCCTCCTCCGCGCTCGAAGGTGAGCTCTCCTCTCCCGCGATTCCCTCTTCTCCACTTGCTCTGTTCCAATTCTCCAACTGTTTAGCCTTGT